GCCTGCCTTGTTCTTTGTTGGCCTCCTTAGGATACCTGTTTTCCCCCCGATTCCAGCCGGGATGAAGGAGATCTGCCCCACCAGTTCCACTTCCTCTGCCCTGTTCTTCAAATCCTACTTCACCTCTGCCCACCCTCATCTTAGATTTCTCCTTCTCAGTCCACTGCTGACTCTCAGCTCTTCTTTCAGCTGTGTACCTATTGCTAGCTTCCCCACAAAGCTATGCTATCAGTAACAAACTGCTTTCCCTCACAGTCCTGAGGGAAAATGTAAGCTCATGGAGGAAAATGCAGCTATGTGGAGCTTAAACACACATGGAAGCTAGGTCAAATTCCCGTGAGGCAATTTAATACCTTTTGTTTACAATATCATTTATGAATGAAATAATTCCCATGAGGTATCCCAAAGTGATATCAAAACAAAGTAGAACAGTACTGAAAAGTTTAAAATAATGGCATGCTTATCTCTCAACTGAATAATTCAGTTTTTTCGGAGCAGCTGCAGTGTATTCTACATTTCTCGCTACAGAACTTAATTTCTTTCTAGAAAGTGTGCGTTTTCTGTAAACAAAAAGGACCAAAGATTTTTTTTTTAAGACAAGGTTCTTTAATTTGACACTAATGCTCAAAGTGCTTATGCTAAAAGAATCTTCCACATATTTTAAAAATAATAAAATCAATTGCACATATAAACACCATACATAATCCAGCCTGAAGTCCACTCATGGCAAGAAGTGGAAAAGAATAGTTCTGCATAAATAGTATGTTGTATCAATCGGCAAAGTACAATTTACATGTAAAAATCTATGTTGACATTTTGTACTACGGAATGACAGACTGCACATATATACAAACTCTAACTGTATTACTGTTCTGAGTCATGATCCTGGTTCTCAAGAGATGTGCATCCGCAGACAGTTCTCTACTGCTCATCCACAGCTTATACTGGATTTTAAACTACCCAGCTATAAACTGTATAACATTCATAGAAATTAATTCAGATAAGCATAGTGTCTGCTTTGGCCCACATATGCAGAGATAGGTAAGACCCCCTCCCCCAAACAATCTATACCTTATTCAAGCCACACAAAATAAAATAATAAGATAAAATGTAAGTATGCTCTCATAAAACCCTCCCACGAGTTCAAGTTGGGAACCTGAAATAGAAAACAGCTCACTGGCATGGAGAAACTTGTCTAGATAAAATTAATATTTCAAGTAGGTTTATTTTGAGCATATCTGTACAATAACTGGGACCTAACACAATGAAAATATTTAAAATGAGCAGCTTTATGTAGGAGATCGCTTTAACATTCATTTCCTTCCTCATAACCAATATATGCAGCATTCTATAGTATCAAGTAAAACATAGGTCATATTTCCTTATGACATTTCATCAGAAAACATCTTTCCCTGTTTAGAATGACTGGTAGGCTAGTGAATGCCAACATGGTGAGGAGTCTTGTCAGGCTAAATACAGTAATGCACCTATTCTTTGTGTGCTTGCCAAGAAGAAGAAGAATGGTGGCAGTGTTATTTTGTACAGTCGTACCTTGGAAGTCGAATGGAATCTATTTCGGAAGCCCGTTTGACTTCCAAAGCACGGCTTCTGAGTGGCTGCAGGAAGCTCCTGCAGCCAATCGGAAGCTGCAGAAACCCCGTCAGACCTTCAGATTCTAAAGAATGTTCGCAAACAGGAACACTCACTTCCGGGGTTGTGGCGTTCGGGAGCCAAAACGTCTGAGTACCTAGGCATTCAGGATCCAAGGTACAACTGTATTTAGAAAAATTGTGGGTATTTAACTGGACACAACAGGTTTCTGTTGTGAGCCACCCTGTAATCTTTGGAGGAAGGGCGGTATACAGATTTAATTAATGATAGTATTAGTTGAAATGTAAATACAGTTTAAGTCAACTGCATCTACTGATTTCTGTCCTGAGTCAGGGATGTGCTCTTATATTCTGTATTTTGAAATAGTCTATGGCTTCCTACTGCTACTTTTGCTCTCTTTAAAAAACAAACAAACACCACCCTGACCCATTTTTGATGAAACACTCAATCTCATTCTAATAAACTTGAAATCTCAATACATCCCCAAAGAACAAAACGTACCTGAAACAGAGAGGCAGTTTTATGAAATTATTTGTTCCAGTGTGGGAAACATTATTCTACTGCAGAATCTAATCTAATTTCTCTAATCTGCGGCGAGAAGCAGTTAATACATTTTATGAATGCCTCAAGCATAGCATCAACACCCAATGATCCTCTCATGATGAGCTACCCTCTTGCATCTTGGGGTTGCTAACATGACACACATGCATACACGTGTACACACACATGTACATTGTACCATGTGAAATTATTTGAAGAGGGAAGGATTATCCTTTTTCCTCCCATGCATGATGCTCCCTTTCCAAAAATGCCACTCCAATAGAAGGCTTTTCTTTCTGCAGACTGCAGTTGCAAAGGAAGCTTAATGCCATTTTGGCTTGTAGGTGATATATAAATAGATAGCTCTTGTTTCTCCAGCTGCATTCGTCAGGAAGGTTGGTTGCTTGTTCTCCCTGTCACAATGCTTGGGTGAGGCAGGGCAGCAAACATGCTTTTTGCCAAGCCTAATTTCAGGAGGAAGGGCGAGTGTGCTGCCCACAACAGCTTCTCTGGTTGGCAAATGTGCCCAAGGACTTGGTGACCCCTGCTCAGAAAAATGTCCAGAAGCAGTTGAGATATCTACAATGGTAACAGCATTGGTAGCAGACCTTGCTTCCTGCACATGAGATTGTTCTGTAACAGTAAAATATGTTTTAGATGTGTTTACCTTTGCTAATCAACCAGAATTTGTCTAACTCATAGAGGAGAATAGACTACTTCTATTTTAACTGAGGAGCATTTCTTTAAACACAGTAATCAATACCAGTCACATCGGTTAGGGCTGTGGATTATAAGTTGCTACCATGTTCTCAGATATAACTAGAATCTCATATTAAAACTGTATTTTGCTTTCACAAGATGCATAAAAGCAACTAATAGCTGCATGCAAAGGCGCTGGAAGGTAACACAGCCAAATGCTCTCTTAAGTTCTGGGCTAACATATTTACAAACTTGCAACTTTTACGGGGACCTTTAGATATTTCTCCATTTCATTACATTCTCAGATGGACAAATGCCTAGTAGAAGAAAAACCGTTTCTCAAACAGGACAATGTTCTATTTTTACGACACAAATTCATTAACATTGGTAAAAATGCCTATACACAAAGTTAGCCAAAAAGTTGATACAGTGCAATTGTTTTGCTTCAAGACAAACAATGAGAAAAATGTTCAAGTATATAAAAGCATCCTTACAAGATGCTCTTTAAGTTCTATTATTATTGCACAGATAAGAATTAGTCTTTACTCCATGTTCCATGGAGCCATTTCCTATTAGTTGAGCTATAGATCTATTTAGAGAATTCTCATTCATATTCAAATTGGACATATTTAAAGCATTTCTTAACCCTAATATTTTATTGCTATTTCCATGCCTTCCCTCCCCCGCCCCCCGCTTATTTAAGGCTAATGTGTGTAATATAAATAGTATATTTATAGTAATGTACACATATTCACATCACTGGAGGAAATCCCCTCTCAAATGCTTCAGTCAGCTTTCTCATGCTTCAGGTAGGAAGTAGTTTACTGACTAGCTGTATTCACACCAACCCTCTTTGTAAAAATAAGGTTTATTTTAAGAAAAGAAATCTAGCAGGCACTATTAGAGCAGGGGTGGCCAACCTTTAGCTGTATTTGGACCCTTGACCATCCAAGTTATGGTCCAGCATCTGGTTAGCCACAGGTTAGCCACTCCCAATGTACTTTCTTCAAAGAGACTGCATTTCTTGTTAATGGAAGAGTTCCCCTGATTCCACTCAAGTTTCCGATCTCACTATGCTGATCAGCCTGCTACCACTGCACACTTTTTGAGAGGACTGGAAGATTTAGGTAAACATTTGCTTCTCCTAGTGCAGCACTGCTTTCAATGGATCAGAATGCTCAGCGGGACCAGGTGTGAACCCCTCCAGTCCCAAGGCAAAACCAATTTGTGCCAGTTGCAAGAAAGGAAAGTTATCAGAACTATGATCCCTGAGGGTTTTTCAGTCTCACGGGAACAGATTCTTCATCTACAAGTTGCTCACTGACTGACTTTTAGCAATTTCCTGGTGGCACAAGCAGCATACTTAAAAAAAAAAAAAAGAAAGTTTACAAGTCTTCATGTACCCAACATAATTGAGCTCAGCAATTCTTTCACCCAAGAAGCAGAATAGGGCCCCTGATAATAGAAACCCACATTTTGGCCCCAAAGGTGTCAGTATGGAATCTGTAAGTATCACAGTTTGGTGGTGTTGTTTTTAAAAGCCCCCTCAAACTTAATTATGAATTCAGTGATTTCACTCTTCCTCTGGCCTACTCACCTAAGTGTGTGGAAAACCCCCCCTAAGGACTGGCTGTATACCAGCATTTGAAGAAGGCCAATGCAGTGAAATGAACATTCATGAATGAGGGCTACGCCTTTCTTCAAATTACCTTGTAAGAAACTGAACATGAGTAACCTAACCCAAAACAAGTTTACTTAGGAATGTTCAATCCTAAAAATGCTTGCTAGGATGCAAATCTTCCTAGCAAGTATGCTTAGGACTGAAGGCTTAAGTCCATTGAAATTATAGCATAATACTTTAGTTTAGTGGTTGGTCTTCAACAAGTTAAGGGGAGATTTAATGTTTTCATTATTTAGAATATCAAAAGTGCATGATGTGCAGCTATTGAAAAGTTCCTCCATATTCTGAGCAGCAGATACTTCAGAGAATACAGTGGTACCTCAGGTTACATACGCTTCAGGTTACAGACTCCGCTAACCCAGAAATAGTGCTTCAGGTTAAGAACTTTGCTTCAGGATGAGAACAGAAATTGTGCTCCGCCGGCGCAGCAGCAGCAGCAGCAGCAGCAGGAGGAGGCCCCATTAGCTAAAGTGGTGCTTCAGGTGAAGAACAGTTTCAGGTTAAGAACGGAACTCCGGAACAAATTAAGTACTTAACCCGAGGTACCACTGTATCTTCAAATCACCAGAGTGTACAAAGCAAATAAGTTCTGGAAGCATCCTAAAGCTGTACCAAAAGGCTAACTCTTTGGATACATCTGCAAGAATCCATAAAGCCACACTAGGCTCAAGTTATTAGCAATGATGACGACTTATTTTCATGGCTTTTAAATTAAAGGAAACTCTGAGGTATATCTCTAAGGATGCAAAAAATTCTGCTACCTGTCTCAGAGAATTCTGCCTATCAAGAGTGCTCCAGACCAGTGGCAACATAACACTACTGGCGATTTTGTTCCCCACAATTTGTTACCAATGTAAAAACAAAACTGTAATACTGGCACTTATTGAGATGACGCTGTAAACTTTGCCTCTCTCGGGATGGAGGCTGTTTCTCCAGCACCTTCTGCCTGTGATCAGCCGGCCTTCTTGCCACAAGGCAGGTGGAGATGTGTTTGCTCTTCCGGATAGCTGCCTTTGAGAAGAACTCAAATGGAGTGTACTCTAGACGTAGTCTATGGGGTAACCTGGGAGCCCGGTTTAACTCCATGCACAAAGAAGAAATCCAGCCAGTAGCGGAAGCAAGTTTGCCATCAATAGCCATAGGGTTACTACCAGGCTAGGGGAACAGGAACACAAATCTAAAATAAATGTTAAAATGGTATTAGCATAGTTTAAGTACCGGTACTTCTGCAGATGCTGTTCAAAATAGTCCTTGACAAACAGGAATAGAGGCAGATGCTCTTTGAGTCTCTAAACTTTAATTCATCATTTTTCCAAACTAAAGAAAAAGGAGGGGGAAGGAGTTTTCCAAAGCCTAATTGTCTGTTTTGGTCCTGCTCTCTTCCTCTAAAACCACTGCAGTGTAAAAAAGTGAACTAGTTCTCCTGTTTGCTAGGAATATAATTCTGAAAATGCTACAAAGAACATCACAGCAAAACAAAACAAGAACTCCCTATTTCACTTAATGACTTTTGAAGGGTTGCTTACCAATAGATGTGAGTCTTGTTAAATTAGCAACTGGAGGAGGATCCTGCTCAGGTGGGCAGAAATCGCAGAAGTCTGAACACGCTGGGCAAATTAGGTTCCCAATATGTACCCATCCATTCATCTGAATATTCACGGTTAGGATTTGACCTGAGCGACTGCACAAATATGACTCATCCTTGACCCAAACAGTCAGCCCACGGGGAGAACAAGAAACCTAAGAAATAAAGTTGGACTAGCTAGATTATTGCAAGCATTTATTTAATTTTTAAACCAAGTCTTTTAAGAGACATGTTGCTTGTAGTCGAGCTGTCAAAAGGAAAAGCTAGAACAATTTGTGTGTACCTTCACTTGCTTGCATGCAGATTTGGAAGATGACAGATTGTTTGGTCAGGCCGTGTAAGAGGGCATCTGCTCACTTTAGAGACTTATACTGTTGGCATAAAACTAATGGGCATGAGGTAGGGAGATATTTTGACTTCCACATGACTATCTGGTCTAATACAATTAGATACAAATATAGAAACATGTAATGACTAGTTAAGAGCAATAATGATTTCTAAACAACGCAACTTTACAAAATGCAACCTTAAACTAAGAGCTCCTGCAGTTACCTGGTAACAGCCACTGCCCCAGTCAGGGTAACTGAGTTTCTTTCTGCATTGTTCCATAACAAAAGCTGACTTCTGAATGAGACACACAGAATTTGGTCCATATTTCTCTGCACCATAGTTTTTGAAAGGATCTAAAAAACCAGGAAAGCACTGTTAACACATACTGTGGACTGCTAACCAGCTTCAGACTGTGATTTCAGATCCTAGTTTCTGAGCCTGAAACAAACCTGGGTAGACTCAGATATAGATGCAACATGACAACCGTGGGTTATGCTAAAGAAGCTATGGGTTTCCCTTACATTGGAACCCAAAATTTCTGAAAGATATTAAAGGAAAAAATAAACACAAAACCAACTGACCTGGTTGATTTTCAAGTATTCTACAGTCTGAACTTCGCTGAAATTCACCACTTAAGTGCCAGCTAAATTCCTGACTGAATGGACAGAAGTCAGCAATTTCAACAGACCCACCATAATAAGGCAAATCTTCTGATGGTACCCCATAAAGACGGTCAAAATACTGCAAAAGATAAAGTGACAGAGGCAGCTATGGAGGTAGAAGCAGCACAGTCATATCATCATCATCATCACCATCACCTGGTAGTAATAGCAAACTTTTACAACAATGGCAGAAACCCACATTCCATACATTGTATTCATGTTAAAGAGAACCAAAGCACAAAGCTATAGTTGCTACTGCCATTAATAATTTTTATTTTAGAAACAACAGTATTGCTAAGTACTGCACATACAAGTCTGCTATGCACGATAAATGCATTCTCTTTTGACTGTGTGTTGTCTGAACCTAAACTACGGTTAATCTTAACTATGGTGAGTGGAAACAAGCCAGCTGCTTAAACTATGATTTAAAGTTGACTTGTTTCAACAAACTACAGTTTGTATGTGATCCGACAACAAATAAAGCTGAATCTAAAATGGAAGCAAAAGCTTCCAAATTCTTCCTTGTGGTTGCACTGGAAGAAGAGGAGGAGGTGCCCAGCCCCTATGCTTGTTCTCATGTCTGAATGAGACTGGTGGTTCATAGAATTCACATAGAGTCACACCCTTTATACCTGATATTCCTGAGGCAGCTGTTGTGGGAATTTCTGTAAATTGCACACTGCCACTGCTCTTTGGTCCTGTCTACAGGTTAGCTGCAATGGATTAGTCCGCAGAGTGTCACAATATGGATCCACCAATTCTTTCCTGTGAATAAAGTTGAAAACCTCAATAAGGGAACTGTTAAAAAAATTTTATACAACATTTAACAAAAAAACCAGTACTAACCAGACAAACATTAATAGGCTATTGCAATGCCAGTGGCATCACATACCATGCAATCTAAAGAAACGTATTCTTACCTTCTCCTCTTGTGATCAATCCAAAACTTACAGCTTTTCATCACAAAGTCACAGCCTTTATCTCTGCCCCAATCAAGCTTTTCTGCCATGTTGTAATTGGCTTTATACCAGCTGTAAACATATGTTGAAACAGAAATGCTATTATTACACTTCTGAACAGTCAGCAAAAAGTTATTTCAAAGCTCTTGCATGTGTTAATCAAGCTACCCGATATGAACCATTTCCTAATGCAGGTAGGGTAACTGAAAAGGCAGATGCATTTCCACAAACAGGCACACGTATTGTCGCCTCCAAGATTGCTGCTCCTCTTTTGGCTTAAGAAGCGAAGCCAAAAAATGGAATTGCTCTTCTCCTTCAATGAAGGAATAAACAATGAAGGGGGGGTGATTTCAATAGCTAGAGCTAATGCCACTCTAAGGTAATTCAAATCTGACTAGTTATTGCCAGCCTTTTCCATCCCCCATTATCCACCTTCAACTGGAGGGAAATGCTCGAGAATTACAATTAGTTCAGGAGTATCCTTAATTTGAGGGATGCAGGTGGCGCTGTGGGTTAAAACACAGAATCTAGGGCTTGCCGATCAGAAGGTCGGCAGTTTGAATTCCTGCGATGGGGTGAGCTCCCGTTGCTCGGTCCCTGCTCCTGCAAACCAAGCAGTTCGAAAGCACAAAGTGCAAGTAGATAAATAGGTACTGCTCCGGCGGGAAGGTAAACGGCGTTTCAGTGCGCTGCTCTGGTTCGCCAGAAGCGGCTTAGTCATGCTGGTCACATGACCCAGAAGCTGTACGACGGCTCTCTCAGCCAGTAAAGCGAGATGAGCGCCGCAACCCCAGGGTAGTCTGCGACTGGACCTAATGGTCAGGGATCCTTTACCTTTTATCCTTAATTTGACTATACAATTTCACATTGCACTAGTAGATAAATGGAAAATGAACGGAGAATTTTTGATTTTAATTTCATGTCAGCAACAATATAAACAAAATGATTTGCATAGAAATGTTGCATTGTTTCCAAAGCCTAAAATTCAAACACCTCCAACTACATAAGTTTCTTAACTATGTATTTAAGATCTGTCCAAACAAGGCATATTTATGAGAAAACCAAAAGCAACTATACATCCTTACCCAGTGTCTTCCATTAATGCCAAAGTGATGCGGGAGAAGACCCTGTTCTGAGTGTGCGATCCAGTCATAGCTTCATTCTGAAAGTAACCACCCAATAAACCAGTAAGCTTCATGAACAGGAACTCATTCCTCGTTTTGGGGTTGGGGAGAAGAAAGAATGTGTACCTTTGGGCATAAACACTTATTACATAGGCCCATTAATTGTTTCTAACATTTTCTTGGTTATTTCACTTAGGTTCCCTCCCCATGAAATGGTCTGAAGTGATTTACATGTATGTGCTATCCCTGGGCCAATTCAGGTAAAGTCTGGGATAGTCTTCATCTCCACTTAGGAGGCTTGATGGTAGAGGATTCAATAGGTGTTTAAAGCCAGTGAAGAAGGCACCTCCTGGGTTTATAATGGTGTGCTTTCCAAACGGTAGGCACTGCCACACTAGACATCTAATTCCCACACTGTATGGGACAGGCTTCCTGATGAGCTGATATCTGCAGGAGGCTCTCTCATCACTGTAAAAGTCTATAAACTGACTACAGAATGAGGAGTTGCATGTAGTCAAACACTAGGGGACTGCCCTAAATTGCTCCTCTGCTACTGCTCATTTAAAACAAATAGTAAGAAATGGCAGAGTGGAAAGGTAAAGACAAATGAAGACAAAGGTAGTAATTATAATATATATTCTTTATATATTCAATATATATTCTTTATAATGTATGGTATTCTTTCACAAAGCAAGCTGTACTGCTCCTCTTTTAAAAAACTGCTTTATATAATCCCATTTTATCTAGATTGCAGTGACTGTCCAATTAACAAGTTCTAAGGGAAAGATTAAAAATCTGATGATGGGGGATGGAATCTTTCCAGTGATAAATCCTACTTTTAAACTTTCATCAATCTGTCATCCTGGAGACAAAGTATCCAATATCACAAAAACCTGCATTTCAGTTTATGATCATCTCGCAAAAAACCCAATAGCTACTGTATTATAATTAGCTGTACTGACCTCCAACAATCTCTTTTCCCAATGATTGAGCTCTGTACCCATGCCACCTTGATTTTCAAGTTCCATCCCCTCTAGAAATTGACATCCAAAGTGTTTTCGGGCCTCCTCCTTCAAAAAGATGCACCAGAAGACCGCTGTCAAAATAATTAGCAATACCCTTCCTTGAGAATCAAAACTAACCCCCACCCCCACATATTTTAAGTTCCTAGGAGGGGCTTCCTTCATCTTGCACAGATTTCCAATGAAAAGGGTCCCCCAAATCTTCTTCCTATATGTGTTGAAATGTAAGGCTGCTATCACAATGCGGTTCACATGACTGGCAAGAGGCAGCCATGCTGGACAGCAGAACAGGCAGACAAGCAAGCAGTGTGGGTGGCAGGTGCCCCAGGCAATATGTTTGGGAAGAGAGGCGCTTCATAGAGTGATTTGCCCAGCAGCTCCCTGAAGTGCTTCCCCTGTTAAATACAGCTGCAACAAGTGTTAATGGAGGGAGGAGGCACTTTAGAGAGCGGTTTTGGGCAAAAAAAGCCCCTCCTTTAAAGCTTGGGGTGAGGGGAAGGGTGAGATGTAAAGGGAGGAGGGGTTACATATACATGAAGAAGGGAGGATTGTCAAAGGGGTTGGTGGGCAGGCGAGGTTAGTGAATGGAGCGAGCCGAAGATGGAAGCTGCTAGTAAGAAATACTATTTAAAGTACATGAAGCCGAGAATAATAATAATAATAATAAATAATAATAATAATAAAGTTTAAAAATTAATTCACCTATGTGAAAAACATAACATGTTCTGATCTCATAAAACCCATAATTTAAAGTCTTCAGAATGATTCAGTTATTTGAATCATTTGGAGGATAAAAAGCATATCTAACAGGTAGCTATGCAAGCCACAATGTGAACAGGCTTTTGCCCAACTTCCTTCCGCTTTAATAGGCTGAAGGAATACAAGCAGCAACCCAGTCTGCTGAAGTTTTGTGTCTGTGCTGTGGCTTCATGCCACTCAGGTTCTATGGCGGCATGATGGCAGCTTCCATGCACAGCTTGAGATCTTTCCTTTAGGTCTCTCATTTCTTTGAACTGATATCTTTGGCACACCTGCGATATCCGGAATCAACCCCACTCCCATGTCTGTGGGTGGCCTTGTTCTGGTGCTCTAGTAGTTGGAAAAGGGCCAGCCACTTTACTATTACAAGGATTGATCATTTTTCTAATGAGAATTATTCCTTTTGACATGCATTATTTTACCAGTAAGCAGCTTGCCAGGGATACTGGGAGTAAGCTATTCCTATAATTCTCAAAGTGCTAGATAAACCTCCTAAAGAAGGCAAGGCAAATTGTGTAGATGTCCTTATCTGAGGAAGTTAGTTAGATTTATTCTGATAAAAAGTGAAAATGATACTTACAACTACTTTAGGAGTTATCAGAAGGAATACATTGTGAAGCAGTTTCTTATTGCCCCGTACATCCCATAACCGCACAGCGCTATTTACTACTTTATTGCTCCATTGATATACACCAAGGCTGTAAGGAAGGCAGACTGAATTAACTTGACTGGCAAGCAGGATCAATTCTAAATATGATCAACAGGCTGTCATCAGCAAATGTTAAATGCATTTCAAAAATAAAATAAAATATTAAACATGATAACTGTGAAGCTCATGACAGGTGGCTATGAAAGAGGACATGGAAGAAAAATCAGCCAAGGAAACAAACCAACTGAGTCACAAGGTATTAAAATGTTGACAAAAGAATTATTTCGCAACTATGTCACATCACTTCCTTCAACAAAACTACATAGATTCATAAAGTCCAACATAGATTTCAATATATACATAGATTCATAAAGTCCAACATAGATTTCAATATATACCTTTCATTAAAGGGTGGCAATCCATTTTGAGATGGGGCAGTCAAAGGATTTCCATCATCATCACGATAAAATGCAAACAGCCCAGCAGAAAAACCCTTTAAGGGAATGCAAAGTCATGTATATTATTTATCATCAACATAAGAAAGCATGTTTTGCCTAGAAGTTAACAAACCTCAAAACAACAAAAAAAGTTGTCTGAAAGTAAAATAAACATACAGTGTAGACTAAGTTCACATCTATGTATTTTAGAAGAGAAACAAAAACAAATAATTTTTTGCATGGTGCAACACAAAGATGTTGCTAATATTTTAAATGAATGCAACAAATAACATATCTTACCAGTGCATGAATGATTTCATGTTTCACAGTAGACAGCATGCCAGCAAATTCTTGTGCTTGGGTTGAAATCATATTCGGACAAAGATTAGCATACCCTGCAATTGGTCTGGGAAATAATGAAAAATATATTTCTATAGAATAAAAACTTCACCGTCTTAGGAACATGCTAAGCTTAATAAATGAATACAAACAATGTGCACTCAACAACAACTAAAAATCTAAATTTAGAATGCTAAAGCGCGTAAGCAATTGTAATTTCACCATTTACACAACGGGCAGCAGAGTGAAACATATTTTCACTCAACCCGCATCTGACCACAAATTAAACAGATTTTGATAATGGTATTGCTAGTAAAATCTCGTAACAAAGAGATGTTGGATTTCTCTGCAAACAATAGAGATGAAGAATGCAACATCTACTTTAGTAGGCGATTCTTCTAATTTCATGATTCAGGCTACAAACACAGGCATCTACTGCTCAAAAAAGGAACTTAGAATAGACAATTCTAGTTCCATTAAGAATTAGTCATTAATTTGAGCAGTGCAGTTCATCTAGTAAACTAGTCAGTTAAAGCCACCTTTGGAAGTCATTACACCAGTACATTTATAAATGAAAGTTAATTTGGAGGGGGGAAATGTTACCTGTCCATATCAGCTTCTAGTTGACAGTATGCTGCATATGCAATAATATTTTCTTGGCCACACCTTTCAGTAGTCAGAGCACTAACATATAACACAAAGTCAGCATCTCGAACCCCTTTTTGGTCTCTTACACCAACAGGTCCACAATCCAGCATTTCATTACACGCCCTACATTGCTAAGACAATAAATTTAGAGGAAATTAGTTTCAAACAGACACAATCTTCGAACCATGAACTGGAAGTTCCCCACACCTGGGCCGCCGAGGACTGAATTACCTGCAGGTGTTCCTCAGGAACTGTGACTGGACCACACTTTGTATATTCTGCACAGGCTTTTCGGCAGTATCGGTGAGGGTCATCTTTCTTCCTTAAATATTCATTTGTTACACACTGTCTTAAAACAAATCAGAATTACAGATTTAGTTATCAATGAAATGGATGCATAGAATAAAGCCACATAACAGAGAAGCTAGGTATACCAATGTAACCAAGTTAATTTACTTATCAGAATGGAATTACTCTTAGTGGGGTTTTTTGGGTGGGTGGGAACAATTCTGATCTACAGGCCGAATATAATCTTAAATACAGATTTATGTTGACACTTACTATTAAACAACACTAAACCATGTACATACCTGCTTAATAGAATGGTACCAGTAGGTTTCCGTACTTGAAATGTCTTCTCTAAATAGGAAATAGCTTGCGGGAAAAGCTTATTCTAAATGTGCAGAAAAGAAAAGTCTCTTTACACCAAAAAAAGAGAGAGATGAAACTAGATTCTAAAGAATGAAGTCCCAAGTCTCACTTACTAAGTATATTTTCACAGCTTTGAACTGAATGAGATAAGCATAAAGAGATGCTGATTTTATTGTATTATCAGACAATACTCATGTATCCTGAACTTTAACAAAATCTGTAGCAAGGTGACACAAATTAAGATTTGTAGCATACTTCAGAACTTGGTTCACACACGAACTCTGGCTAGTGCTAAAACCACATTTATCATTTATGTAGTTCTTAATGCTGCTTTTGGTTAAAGTGGCCAAGGTAAGGGAGAGTGGAAATTGCACCAGAGAGGGAGGTGGAGGGAGAAAAGTCTGTTTGCTCCTAATCACATAACCACGGTTAGGAGAACACACAATGTTAGGTCTGCACAAATTTCAAAAGCAGTTTCAGACATGGAGCAGGAAAGCTGTTTAGAAAAGTTAGAATACCACTTACAGTCACGGATCATGCAGACCACTGGATTGGCGCAATTAAACTAGAACTCCATTCAGCAATAGGCATGACTGACATACATGCAAGAAGGAAGAGTCACATACCTTTATAAGGTGCTTTTTTTCAGGTGGCAATCTATGAAGAAAGAAAACAATATGGGGACGGAATTGTTTCTTTTCTATTTGTATGAAATACTATCATCAACCAATCCCTTTCCACCTATAAAACCAGTTACTCCAGACTCAGTCCTGCAACACAAATCTGTCCCCCTTAGCTACGTATTCCCTATTGCCTTGCCTACTTGTTTGGTGAGGAAAGCAGAAGGGGGACAGGTCTTCCTAGCTATCAGCTAATTCTCCTGTACAGGTAAGATGTCCTCAGGTTGGACATAAGCTCTCCCTAGTGCTTGAATGCAGGAACTAAAAACTGAAGGCATCTCCACATGTGTGGAGAAATACCTCTCAGGTAGGACCAACAGCCCCTTCCCACTCAGAATAAGAATTTTAGAAGGCTGCCATTATACTTACTCCTCAATACTTTTGTCATATACTGTCTTAATTCTTAGTTGTTCATCCACATTTCTCTTTATAACACGATTTTCCTTAAGATAAACTTTATAGATAACCTAAATAAAGAATAAATAGATTTGACTCAACAAATAACATGTATAACTTTTTTCCAAAAAATATAAGAAACAGATGCATCTATCAGATTTATTCACTAGTTTCCTTTGCACACACACCCTTTACTATAAAGTTCCAGGGTTATAACAATAAAAAACAGTAATAGAAATGACACAGCTATTTATTTTGCTTGATGCTGAGAAAGCATTTCACAAAATATATTGCTGGGTTCTTTTTGTTGCTTTGGAAAAGTTTGGGTTCCCGCAAGAGCTTATGAAATAGATTATTTCATTTGATTAAGAGAGAGGAACAAGTCAAAGCTGCCCTCTTTTTTTGATATTCAGTGTCTAGAACTGGTATTTGTGCAATTAAGCAGAAAAGACAAATTCAGGGCTTTGTACACAGACAAGTAGAATTTAAAAATGGCTACATATACAGATTTTTTTTAAAAAAAATTAGGTCTGAATAATCTATATAAGAATTAATAAAAATTATTAATTGTGGTGAAATTTCTGGCTAGTTGTTAATCAGTCAAAACCCCAAAAAATGCCAGTAGGCACTATAAATCTATGTAGTTTATGTGCTAATTGGTAATTTTGTTCATGCCACGGTTGTAACATATTAAAGCTCAACTCCTGCCTATGAGGGGGAGGATGTGGCTTGCTCCCCTCCCCACTTTGGGGAGTGTGTATGTGTCCCTGGGGCGGTGTGTTGCTTGTCACTGTTGCATATTGCTGTGCTCCTGTAGCCATTTTTCCTTGGCATATGTGGCTGCCAGCTGCAAGTGTGGGGTTGTAATCACTGTTTGGGAGTGCCAGTGTGTGCCTGTGTGTTTGTTTACAGTTTCATGCTGAGGCATGCTTTTGGTGCATATGTGTTGATGACTGGTCATGAACAAGTAGAGCAGGTTGTGTATGCCTGGTGGAAGGTAGCAGGTTTGGCTGCTGCTGGCAGGGTTATTATAGATGCCGTGGGTGTCTGTGTCACCTGGCATGTAGGCCACAGCCTCTCTGGTGCGGGGGGACAGTTGGATGAAGAAGTTTTTACACCACCAGCAGATCACTGGTGGCCACAAAACATGGCAGAGTCTTGAAGTTGTTTCGGATTTTTTAATTATTTTTATTTTTACAAACTTTACTGAAAACTTTTAGAACTGTTACCAAACAACCTGTTGTCTTCCAGGACAAATGCATGTACAGATGTTAAGTCATGTATGGAGCCATCTACATGGCATCAAAGCAGACTTTAAACATATTTTCCTTTACAGATTAAGCTCACATCCACAGGCTATACGTCTATCTAAAACAGAGCTTTCCAAACTTTTCATGTTGGTGACACACTTTTTAGACATGCATCATTTCGTGAAACAGGAATTCAGTTTTACTAGCAAACCAGAGGTTAAACTAACCCCTTTCCAGCCCCAAGAGGAGCATGGGGAGTGTACCTACACTGCAGCTGACACACTAATGTGTGGTGACACACAGGCTGCTGTGATTGAGACGGAAAAGAGATTCCCGTACAGTACTGTTAATAAACAATATAAATTCAGACCATATGGAGTGAAATCCATTTTTTTTTGTTATTCCTCTTATCACCCTCCAATGATGAGCTGAGCATTACATAAGTGCTATATTCCACACATATTGCGTCCAAGTTTCTATGGTGGGAGGGAGTCACCCCCCCCATTGGAAGCAACTATTTGTCTTGTTGCTAGGAGTCTTACAGCTTAAACTTCTCTGGCCATAATCCTATGTACGCTTAATTAGGAGCCAAGTCCGATTGAATACACTAAAATAAAATCACATAAACAGGATAAGATTTTCTATTAAATCCATTACCACTGAAAATATCAAGCATTTTTACAAACCAAGTTTTCTGTTAGAGAAAAGTAATGACCATGGGATCTTAATAGGTGGGTTATAATACGATAATAATAATATTATTTCCATTTTTAACTTGTGCTATGGGGTGGTTTTTTATGGAGTGTTTTTTTTTTTAAGTGCATCATTAGTTTAGACGTCAAGAGAATCCTGTGTGCCATAAATGGTGGCAATAGTACTGAGAAGAATTAAAGAACAGAGCATAGCGGCTTCCTTCAGAAAGAAAACTAAGCCTAGCTTCTAATCTCAGTATTTTGTCAACAACGGGAAAAGGGCGTACCTACCCCGCGAGGTAAATACCAAAACTGTAGAGCCATTTCCCTGCCTTTAGTCTAACATAATGACAAAAAATATCGGAGCGGCACGGCTTAAAGCTATTTTCCCATAGCGTTTCGCGGTCCTCCTTAGGAAAAAATAAGTTGCTGGGATGCGTGGAAGAGACAACCGGCACCAACCAACAGGTTACTGCTTTGCTGCAAACCGCGACACGCATCGGCATTCCCAAACGAAGGATCCCAAGGAAGTGGAGGAGCGGAGAGTTTTAAATCAGATTTCTGAAACCGGTCCCACCATCCTCACTTGCATTCAAAGCAGGAACTTTTACGAGCACAAATGCGAAAAACAGGCAAAACAGGCGGCCGACAACGCTGCAAACGACGGAAAGATGCGCGGAAGCCAAAGGCGAGTCCTAACAATCATTGGCATCCGCAGGTCGAGGCGGAGATCCCGTGTCGCCCTCTTAGCCCCCCCCCCCCGCTTCCAAACACCCGCCTCACCTCCCTGGCGCTGGGGATGCGGTGGTGACACACAGGGGCAGAAGCAGCAGAAGCTGGGCCGCAGCCAAGCAGAAGCAGCACCGCGAGGGCGGCGGGGAAAGCGGAGAACGGCCGGGGAGAAGCTTGCAGAGCCCGCCGCCTCTTCGCTCCGGCCGCCATCTTGACAGCGGCCTTCGCTACCGCCGCCTCTCCACGGGCAAGGTCGGTTCCCCCTTCCCTGCGAGCCAGTAAGAGAGCGCGGAGCTGAGAGGAGCGCGGTCCTATTGGTCGCACCTCTTTACGGGGCGGGGCGACGGCATCAAGAGAGAACAGGAGAAAGGGCGGGGGGGGGGTCCGTGACGTGACGCCCAGTACTGCAAGCCCAGCCAATTAAGAAGAAGGAGGGGGGAAACCCTGCCGCCGCAGCCTGATTGGATGTCACTCCAAAGGGTAGGACGTAAACTGCCTGGGAGGTGGAATGAGGCATAAATATTCGCAGGGGTTTGGAAAAATTAGGTGAAAGCAGAGCTAGAGATGTGAGGCGCGTCTGGTGCGCCCCGTGGTTTCTGGGACGGGGAATTCGAATTTAACGAGGCTATAAAATAGTCAGTGCCTCATCTCTCAAATTCGAACTGAGGAGGGGGGGGGAAGAGTAAAACTCATTCGTCACCCTGAACGTCAATTACAGGATTGCTTTTATTTTTATTTTTTTAATTTCAAAAATAGGCTTATAACTGGATTTCCATGACACAAGCATTTAATTATAACCAAGCACAATTAAAATAGGCAATAAAGTCACCCCGTTATGAAAATGCAGTAATAAAAGCAGGAGATTTGGGTGCATGCAGGTGTAAACAGGTGTACCTTCAATACTCTTGTATTCTAGTTAGCAGTGCGTCCCATAAGAGCGGTGTCATCAGGAATAAAGGGGGTGGAAGCTGCCATATTTGGGAGGAGGTTTTGCTTGTGAATTGATTCTTCTGAGTCTGTAAAGTGTTAAGGTCACAGATCTGAGATATATTTGGACCTCTAGGCAGGAGTTTTCATTCATCATCTTTCTTTGTCTTTCTTTAGTTATGGTTCTACATTTTGAAGTTTTGAAGCTCACTGGGGACCCAGAGGTTTTCAACCTTTTTGAGTCCATGGCTCCCTTGACCAACTACCGTACATTCTTTCTGCAGCACCCCTGTGGGGCTCAGGAGCCCAGTTACGTCACCCCTGCAGAGCTGGCAGCCTCTCACTCTTTTTCAAACACCCTTCCTTGTGGAGTCTTCCCTCAGCCTCATCTCTTCTCCTTGTGAATCCTCTGGGCAGCCGCTGCTGCTGCCCCTGGTCTCTGAGTTTCCTCCCCTTGCCCCAAAGAGAGGTGCCTCTTCACACTGCCTCACAGAGGCCTGGGAAGAAGATGCCCTCAGTCTTTGTAGTCCAACAGAGACAGGCCAAAGGTGAATGTGAGGCCAGCACCTTACCATGAGAGGCAGCAGTGGCTGCTACTAGGCCAGTATGGCAGAAAGGCTCCCCTTCAGCACCGGGCACTCAGCTCCCAGGCAGGCACTGCACTCGGCAAGCACAAGAAAAACCAATGCAGCACCTGCCTGCCTGCCTGCCTGGCCTCCCACATGACTGTCCATTCCCAATTAGCAAGGGCCGGCAGACTAGCTGGCTGGGCTTACTTGCCCTCTTGCTTGCTTATTCCGAGGCCGCCTCAGCTCCTGACAACCAGCACCCCCTGGCCCAGCCCCAGAGCGCCTGCGGAGCTTGTAGCCATGACTGCTGCAACAAACAGCTGTGCACACCTTTGGGAGGCAGAGACGTGAGAGGGCATCAGAACAGGGAGGGAAGGAAAGAGGGACAGAGGCCAGTGTTGCCCACAGCACCCCTGACCATCATTCAAGGCACCCCAGGGTGCCATGGCACACTGGTTGAAAACCACTTTCTTAAGCTGTTGAACCTCAGTAAACTGATGAACTTTGCTGCCTGTGCGTGTGTTTAGTTGGACACAGCACTGGTTTTTCTTTGCCTACTGCACATGCTACCAGCATGAGTTTGACCAAATTGCAGGAGGCAGAGGAAGACAGGAGTGCCTGGCGTGCTTTGGTCCATGGGATCACGAAGAGTCGGACACAACTAAACGACTAAACAACAACAAAACAACAACTGCACATGTCTGGGTACTCTGCTGCTTGGTTTTCCATGTCCATGAGCTAGAGGTGATTGGATTTTGCACCAGCCCTGACCCAAGGCACCTTTAAACCATGCTGGCCTAGATGGAGAGGATGAACAAATGGACCCCAGCTAAGAAGGATGAAGGAATCCCCTGAAGGCAGCTTATCTAAGATCCTCCCAGGACTTTCCTGTCAGTTTGTCTAAACTGGAATATTGTTTGCTTCTTGAATGCCTGAAATATTTTTGCAACACAACCTCACCCCTGTCATTTATGTTGGGGTTGTGAAGGATGGTGTTTATGACTGGGAACCCTACTGCCATCACTATGCCAGGTGCCAGTTGTCATTGCTGGTTGGGGTTGATGGGAGCTGGCTCCCAACAGGATGTGGAGGGGCACATATTCCTCATCCCTGGGGGGCGGGGGGGGGAGGAACATCCTCGTTTCTGCCTCCCACCTCCCGATTCTGAGGTCCAATGACAATTTTGATGCTTTGGGTTCAAAATGGAAAATTTGGCAAGATTATTGCACTCATGCATTGAACAACTAGAACAGATTATTTCACCTGACCTTTCAGGCTGGAATCCTATATCTCCTTGACCCATTAATGACACAGCACAATATTTAGTAAAAAAATAAATAAATCGCTCTTAATAAATGCTTTTCTTTAAAAAAAAAAGGCACGACCACATGATAAATAAAAGCTCCATCAGATTAGCCAAGGAATAGCCTTGGATCTGCTTCTAATTTTCCTCTTCTTCAGAAGGGCTCACAACAAACAGTACTCTGAAATCTCTGACGCCATCTGGGGCTTTCCAAACTGAATTATTTTCATTTCCTCATTCGGCATTCCAGCGAGCTAACGCTTCGCGGAAATAAAACAGCGGATCAGCATCCACTGAACAGTTAGTTCAAGGATGTCGATGAAGTTTGAATTGTCCCCGTATCTTTTCCCAGAGGAATAATCTGATCCTAGAGATACACTTACACGGGAGCAAGTCCCATTGCATTCCGTGGGACTTACTTCTAAGTAGACATGATTGGCAAATATCACTGAGTGCTTTTTAGAAATGGATGATTCTCGGTTTCGCTCCGCCCCGTTGTAGTCCCCCCCCCGTTATTCTGTTAATAAGGACTGGTCAGATAAAAAGACAGGATGTTCCAACGTTTAGGTAAGGAAGATAAGACGGTAAGGTAGATTAATCTCCAAAATAAAAGGTGCCGAAGCTCCTCAAGACTACTAGAAAAAGGAGCGTCCCCCTTGTAGACCCTTTACGACGTTATTTAGTATGTGCGCTCTGCACACGTTCAGATGCCCCCCTCCCTTAAGATAACGCGAAACTTTTCAGAAGTCAGCCGGGACGCGAGAAACAACTTCTAAGGCTGAGCTGTCTGTGCTCAGAGCAAAATGGGAAGGTTTGAAACGGAAAGGAGGGGTTATAGTGGGAACGAAAATCGAAAGTAAAACGAGTCTGCTGCTCTCTCTTATTGCATTTGAGCGAGAAACTACTTCTAAGCTCAGCCATTTCCCAAGATGGCTGAGAGGGAGGAGGTCTACATTTTCCCAGTCTTGGTGGAAGCGAATTGGGGCTGCAAGATTTCCAAAAGTCTGAAGAATAAGCTTTTGCTCTACTTCCAGAGTTCGAAGAGATCAGGAGGAGGAGAGTGCAAGATCCATGTGGAAGCCGGCAAGGAGGAGCGGGTAGTGGTCTGTTTCGCAGAGGAAGAAGGTGGGTTGGGGGGAGCTTGTTTGGTTCCCGACTAGTTGACAATATATGGGAGGAACTCAATATATTTATTGGGGAAAGGAAATGAATCAATCCCCATGGTGGGACGGTGCTTTGTGGGTGTAGAAATCCGTCTGATAGGGTGCTGCGTAGTATGCGTCTACTCAGAAGTAAGCCTCAGTGAAAGTGTTTTGTGTAACAAATAAAATGCATGGCGTTCTTTTACTTTGACGTGTCCACTGCCTGCGCCCGCTGATTGAGGATGGTTCACCTTAAAAGGAGTTTTGATGACTCACCGCGAAAGATGAATATTCTTCGACTTTGTTTTAGTTAATACTGTATACAAGTCGCCAAGTTTTAGAAGGAACCCTTCCAGTTGCAGAAATGGTGGCCTTGCAGCGGAAACGGAGAGAATAGCAGCAACCCCAGCACAGTTGTTTGTTTTTTTACAGTATGAGAAAGAAAAACCAAGAGGCAAACAGATACCAGTACATGGTAAAGTAAGCTTATACATGCTTACGGGGGAGTAATTTCCATTGTTCTTAATGGGGCTTCTGCATAGACATCTATAGGTTTACCTTGAAAGAGAAGCTGAATTTTTTGTTTACTTGCATATTCTATTTGTGATTGCTTCTCAGCTTTCTTTTCCAGGAATCCATAAATGTTCAGTTTCACTTACGGTTTCTAAACTCGGGACCCTCTTACATGCTAGTTCTTTCTTTGCTTGTGACTAGCACTGTTCACTTCTTAAACCTGAAGTAAATATAAAATGTAGTATTTCATAGTGAGGGGGTGCAGCCCCTTATTTTACTAACAATATTTACAGCCTCCCATTTACTTTGCATCCTGAGGTTTCCCCCCACTAGTTTGGGAAGAGGTGCAACCACTGTCCTGTTGTTTCTTACAAAATGCTACATTTTATATTTATTTATTTCACAACGTGTACACTGCTTGATTTTAAAAAACACACACCTTCAAAGTGGTTTACAAAAGATAAAGCAGTAAAATCAAGAAAAAAATGCAACTCTACTACAAAAGTTAAAATACCACAATTTTAACTTTTATTGAGATTACAGTTACCTCAACTGTTGATTTACCTCAGCATCATTTGGATGGCATAACTGCAGCTGTGTCTACTCAGCAGTGTAGACTTATTTATTTGAGTTGCATGGAGTTTGTGGTTTTGGGTTAAGGCAAATAAATGCATCTAAACTTCCTTTCCCCAGTGTAAAATACTCAAGATTTCTAAGATGTGCCATTGAATAGCATGTATCAGGATTATGTACCTCCCATTTATTTCTGCTAATATAGGTGTAGGGCTGGTAAAGATTCCCATCAGAATGCCTCCACCAGTCAGAGGTCTGGTTCTCAGATAAGCTAAATTATGGTTAAGTGTGAACAAGTACCGTAAGTGTGTGGGTATTTTGGCTTAGCAGACTCTGTGTGTTGCCTCGCTCCAGGTAAATCATGAGCTGTAGTCAATGCTTGTTCTGTGGCTTATGACTCATGGTTTGTCTGAAGGAGACAACCCATGAGCCTGGGTTTGGATGTAATTCTAATGCAATTCGTGGTTTGCAGGATTGGGGAAGAAGCAAATCACTTGCTATTTCCCCTCTTGAATGCCCATGTAATTGCTTGCTCACAGTTTGACTTTGTTTTATGTGTGGATTAGGTCTGATGGTATGAGGCAGGTTTGTGATGGTATCATAAGGCTACAAGCTACAAGGATGGCTTTCCTGTTTTTTGTTTTAGTGAGGCAGAGAGTCCTTAACATGAGCCACCATGAACTTGATTTGCCTGAAAAAAAGAAATTGAAGCTGGCCGTCTCCTTGTCTCCTGAGGCAGCAGCTGACGATGAGCCCCAGCAAGAACCAAATGCAAGTCCGGTAAATGTTGCATGCAGTTCTACTCTGAAACTATTTGCATAGCCCAAAATCTTTTTTGCCACTCTGCATTCTGATCACCCTAGGAGTGAATTTGCACTTGGGGAATACAGTGTATATTGCATCTTCCATGCAGAAGCAATTCCAGTAGCTACAGAGGCTGAAACGTGACACAGTGATGGAGACCATGACTAAGAAGGGGTGTATTTGTTGAGGGTCCCCAAGTACAGTTACAGACGCTTCAGGTTACAGACTCCCCTAACCCAGAAATAGTACCTCGGGTTAAGAACTTTGCTTCAGGATGAGAACAGAAATCACGTGGCGGCGGCAGCGGGAGGCCTCATTAGCTAAAGTGTTACCTCAGGTTAAGAACAGTTTCAGGTTAAGAATGGAACTCCAGAACGAATTAAGTTCTTAACCTGAGGTATTACTGTAATGTGATGCTCAAACTCTGTCCCTGAGAACTTAAGGATTCCCTGGAACCTTATCAAATGTTCCGTGAATATCAGGAGTAGCAGAAAAGTTTCCTGAAAGGTAGCTTGTGTTCCCACTACTGTTCTCTTTCGGTTTTTAGGGATGCATTGGGTGCATTATCAGTTGGTTGGGGTGATAGTGAGGCTCAACAGGCCTCACAGATCCCCTGTGTAAACTCTAGGCCCTAGAATATGTCCCAAAATCCTTTTGCAGCAGCATTCAGGGGTCTGTGGCAGGTAGTATGGAATTTATCAACATCAGTCAGTATGGAAAGGGTTCCCTGAAGTGTGGGACATTAAAACAGCAGCTTTAAATCATATCCATACTTACTCAAAAGTAAATCCCACTATTCAGTGAGACATGCTCCCAGGCAGGTGTGCAGAGCACATGACTAAGGCTGACATTCTGTGTTTTCAACTCACTTGGGTTTCTTGGCTTGGTAGGACAAGACCATATGGAGGGATATTTCATTGTTTTAGTCTGTGCCTCTGGGCCAGAGGGTCTGCTTTCTGATGCCTTCCTTTTGTCCTGTTTTCAGAAGCCTGTTACAGCTGAAGAACCCAAAGATCTGGGTAAGTTACTTTTAAAAATATCCTGGGAAGCAACAATGAATTACTTTTTGCGTTTATACAAGCCTTGTAAGTATGCTTCTTTCTGAGAAAGAATATTCAAATTCTGCTATTTGGAAAACTTCAAAAAATAAAAATAAAAATGGGATGGGTTTGGCTGGTTTGTAGTCAGTGTAGGAAACGTTGCCTTTCTTTGCCTTTTGATTCTAGAACTTCCAAAAGATGTGCCAGAAAAGTTGGTGGCCCAGGAAGAATTCAGTGAAGTGGTAGTGACGCCTGTGGGGAACGAAGTTGAGCTGGAGACTATAGAGATGTACTTTGAAAGTAAGAAGCACTCTGGCGGGGGCCCCATTAAGTCCTGCATTCAAGATGGAGAACAATTCATCATCACCTTTGCAAACAAAGAAGGTATCTTTAGACAGGGCTTGTTACATATATTACAACGGGTGGGGAAGCTCAGACCCATGAGCCAAACGTGCCCCTCGGCCTTTCCCCAGATCACTTCCTCTCCCCAGGCCATTTTTGGTTGACTGGAATGTAGCCTACGGAACAAAGGACTAAATTGCCTCTACTCCCCTGCTCACTTTTGCCTCTGGTCCTGCTCGCCCCTGCAGTGTGCTTTATGTGGGGCTGCCCTTGAAGACTACTTGGAAACTGCAATTGGTCCTGCATTGCCGGGACTAGATGACCTCCTGGATCCCTTCCAACTCTGTGAAAACACAGCAGCCAGGTTACTGGCTGGAATTCCATTTAGATCTCATAATCCTTGTTTTAGAACAGCTACACTGGTTGCCAGTTCATTTCTGGGTTCAGTTCAAGGTGTTAGTGTTTAAAGCCCTAAAAGACTTGGTCCTCAGATACCTGAAAGACTGCCTCCTTCCCTACAGGCCCTATTGGGCACTAAATTTGACAAAGGGAAACCTCCTGGTTGTTCTACCACCCTCAGAATTTCACGCCAGCAGTGGTGGCCTGGGAGAGGGCATTCTCGGTGGTGGCCCCTAAGTCGTTGAACTCCCCACAAAGGTGTATGAAGATTCACTTTTTTACCCTGGCCTTTGACACTTGAGATGTATATTTGGAGGACTCACTTTATTTTCAGTTGTTTTTAATACATTCGTACCTTGGAAGTCGAACAGAATCTGTTCCAGAAGTCCTTTCGACTTCCAAAACGTTCGGAAACCAAAGTGCGGCTTCTGATTGGCTGCAGGAATCGGAAGCCCCGTCAGATGTTCGACTTCCAAAAGAACGTTCGCAAACCGGAACAGTCACTTCCGGGCTTGTGGCGTTTAGGAGCCAAAATGTTCGAGAACTAAGCTGTTCGAAAACCAAGGTACAACTGTACTGTATTTCAGTTGTTGTGATATGCCTTGATATCTTAGGTGGAAGGACTGGTAATAAATTATAATAGTAATAACAACAACACCACTGATATTTTATGTAACCTGCCCTGGGCTCAACAGGCTGCTAGTATGCATAATGAATAAATTAAGCAAGTGTTTATTCTCCATTTTAAACCATCACCTACCGTGAGCCTTGGTGATGAGAGGGTGCGAAAATACAATAACCACCTTAAATATTTTCTCCACATGCTGGGCCAGAAGCTTGAAATGGGATCTTGAGCTGAAGGAGCATGGTGTGAGGAGACACAGAATGTGTACGCATCAAGAATATGCTGACACTGTCCAGAATAATAAGGTTTTTCTAGTGGGTGATGTTTTGTTCAGGTATCTGGAATATGAGGTTGTCATTATTCTTTGTGCTTCTTTCCAACTAGATGCTCAGGAAGTTTTGAAAAGAGAGAGTCACGTAGTAAATAAAACTGCACTTCAAGTCAGACAGCCCCAGCAGGAGACCGCCCAAGCTGCGTCACAAATGTCGGCTTCTCTCGTTGTTGTTCAGAACGATTTGCAAGAGCCCGTAGAAGAATGCATGCTAGTTCTGTTGGTAGAGAATACCAGCAGCTTATCAGAATCGGACAAGGATTTCACTGTGGAAATTTTGCCGGAGCTCAGCGCTGCTGTACTCAGTTTCATCAAGCCTATAGGTAAGAGACAGAATGGCTAAAAGGTACTAAATAAGGTCTCCTCCCCACCCCCCTTTTAAAGGAGCCAGGCAATTGGGAAAGGAAAGGAAAACGGGTTTCTCCTCAGCGTTGAACTTGTTGGAACTTGCCCCATAGTGTTTAACTTAGGAATAGGGCACAGGTGGACCTCTAGATGTAGCTGGTCTCTATAAGTCCCTTCAGCCGCAGCCAGGGATGATGGGAGCTGCAGTCCAATAATATCTGGAGGGCCACAGGTTCCCTCTCTCTAGCTGAAGTGATGGGGCTCTGGTAATGGCAAGCTTGAGAGTATCCCTTCTGAAACTCAGCAAATGTCTAAAACCTTTGCTTCGTTCAAGCATGCGGGTTCCTTCCTGAGACAGTGCTTGCCACCTGCCATGTTTAGAAATGCTTGTATTAAAAATAACATCCTAGAATTTATCTAGCACCGCCTAATGCACCAGTGCACCTTTTTGTCTGTTCGAAAGCTTAAAAAAATTGTGTTTAGCCCAGGCCTGCCAAGCTTTTAGCCCCGTAGATGTTGCGGAACTACAGTTCCCATCATCCCTGGCTGTTGTACATGCTTGCTGAGGCTGAGCAACATCTGAAGGGCCAAATGTTCCCCACCCTTGAACTCACCGATGCATTGGTTGAATGTTGCAGCTCCTGGTGTGATGCTTCTGAATAATAATAATAATAATAATAATAAATAAATTTTATTTATATCCCGCCCTCCCCAGCCGAAGCTGGGCTCAGGGCGGCTAACAACAATCAAAATAATCCGACATTCTAAAAACATTCATTATAAAATTAATTAAATCAAATTAAGATCAAATTAATGGCAACCATCAAGCAAAATTCTGTGCAGATTGCCGATTGCCAGAGGAGGGGGTCAGGCTGCGCCCTGACCAAAGGCCTGGTGGAACAGCTCTGTCTTGCAGGCCCTGTGGAAGGATGTCAGGTCCTGCAGGGCCCTGGTCTCTTGTGACAGAGCGTTCCACCAGATTGGAGCTGCGGCCGAGAAGGCCCTGGCTCTGGTTGAGGCCAGCCTAACCTCTCTGTGGCCCGGGATCTTTAGGATGTTTTTATTTGCAGACCGTAAATTTCTCTGTGGGACATACCAGGAGAGGCGGTCCCGTAGGTACGAGGGTCCTAGGCCGTATAGGGCTTTAAAGGTTAAAACCAGCACCTTAAACCTGATCCTGTACTCCACCGGGAGCCAGTGCAGCTGGAATAATACCGGATGGATATGATCTCGCAGCGAGGACCCCATAAGGAGTCTCGCCGCGGCATTCTGCACCTGCTGGAGTTTCTGGGTCAGTCTCAAGGGCAGCCCCACGTAGAGCGAGTTACAATAATCCAGTCTGGAGGTGACCGTCGCGTGGATCACAGTGGCTAGGTCAGGGCGAGAGAGATAAGGAGCCAACTGCTTAGCTTGGCGGGCGGAGATGAAAAAATGCCGCCTTTGTTATAGCTGTAATCTGCGCCTCCATAGAGAGGGAGGTATCGAAGATTACACCCAAACTCTTAACGGACGATGCTGGCACTAATTGCACCCCCGCAAGAGATGGGAGTTGCCCCCTCAATCCCATATCGCTCCATCCCAGCCAGAGGACCTCTGTCTTCGAAGGATTTAACTTCAACCGGCTCCCACGTAACCATCCAGCCACAGCTTCCAGACATCTGGTCAGTGTATCTGGGGCCGAGTCAGGATGGCCGTCCATCAACAGATAGAGTTGGGTGTCATCGGCATACTGATGGCAACCCAGCCCAAAACTCCGGACAAGCTGGGCAAGGGGGCGCATAAAGATGTTAAAAAGCATCGGGGAGAGAATCGCACCCTGAGGCACTCCACACACCAAGGAGTGGCGCGATGAATGCATGTGTTTGCTTGGCAACTCTGGATTGTCCTGTCTGTATGACAAAGAGTTGTGCCATACTGGGTATATCAAGAAGACACATGGTCTTTCTTTTGGATTGCATTAATTTTGCCATCACAAAGGCAGCAGAGGAGGGAAAGGTTCTGTCGCTACAGTCATCCTGGCCGTATGAACAGAAGGGTAATTGAAGGAAGATACAGTGAGCCTAATCAGAATTGTTCCTTGGGGATGTGAATTTGGAACTGGAATGAGATGCATGAAGAGGAGATGGGGAAGACAAGGTGAAATCCTGTGCAGTGGAGAGAAATAATGGGAATAGATTGAAGATGTGAGTGACTGCACCTTGGGGCAGCTTGGTGAATACTCAGCACACATAGTTCATTGTGTTGCTTACTGCTATTTCTTTAAATTCTCTTTTAGAAATAGACCAATTTATCAAAGACTTCAATCAGTACCATAGGGCTAAGCAATTACACTTTTCTGCACATTCTCTGGAGGTGACGAAAAGCATTCTGGTAGAAGACATCCCGCCTCGCATCTCTCAGGACTTCATCAGTGTCTATTTTGAAAGCAAGAAGCATGGAGGTGGACCAGTGTCAGATGTCAGCTACCTTCAGGAAGAGAATTCAGCTGTGGTTACTTTTCAGGATAGCAAAGGTAATTTGTACTATTAGATAAGATGGGCTCATAATCCTGGATTATTGCAAAAAGCAGGGTAATAATCATTGTGATCAATGTATTTTGGTGGTAATCAGGTGGCTTGTAGGCAGAGAAGGTAGGAAGAACAAGAAAACATCAGCTTGCCTATCTTTCTGACTTTTGGTAAGAGAATGAAGTACAATATGCAGCAAGAGTCCCTAAGTACCAAAATACAAACATCAGAAAAAAATAAATATGAAAATATACTTGTAATGTATTCAATAAGCTTATGAAAAAGTAAATAAACATTAATGCAAATGGGACAATTAACAACACACCATGGAACAACTGGTTACGGATCTGTTTTTATGAATAAGTCATTTTCACATATGACCCAATAATCTTAAAATTTTGGGAAGAGTATGTTCAACAAATTGCTCATGTGCATCAACGGCAGAATAAGTCTCTTAACTGAGCAGCTTTCTTGTATATAAAAGCCTATTAATAATGTCATGGTATGAACAAATAAAATAAATACTTTAGCACATTGAAGGTACAGTATATTTTCATATTTGTGGGTCTTTCTGTTGTTTTTGTAATTCTTAGAAGAGAAAAGTTTGCCAAGCTGACATTGGCTGTGGTTATGCATCTCACTAAGCCATGGTTTGTTTCATGAATTTTCTCTCATGAGCAAATAAGCCACAGTTGTTTCTCCAACCTCATTTGCAATGAGGTTTGAAAGGCTGTTCTAGGTCTCTGCTGAATATAATATAGGAAAACAGCCAGAGTTGCCAAGATGGCCTGTCCATGCAAAAGCCACTAAGCCCTATTGAACGCTTCTAAGTAAACATACCTAGGATTGCGTTGTAATAATTTATCCTAGGCTATACTGTATTTGTTTGTGGAACTGATGTATTAGGAGAAACGCAGCTCATTCCTTGAGTTTAGTCTTGAGTGTTGTCGTTTTGATTGCAAAGCGGGGGCACAAAACAAAATACAACCCTCTGCTTTGGAAACTGCACCAGTTTTAGTTTGAGAGAACCTGGAGAAAGTAGGAAATTTGAAAGCTGTGATGAGGGTGTTGGCAGGGCTGGTGGAGGAAAGCAGGCTGGAGTGGTGTACTGACACAACTAGGTGTGGCTGAAGGAACAAGCAGGTGGATATTTGACCCTTCTGACAGAAATCAGAAACTCTTCCAGAAAGTGAAATGGTCACAGGGAAGGCAACTGGAAGTGATCCTGAGCAGGCTTGGCATCTGAAGGGAGGGAAGAGAAACTCACTGGCCATGTGGGGTGACGATTAGATTACAATATTGAACTGTGTCCAAGTCTAATGTGGTGTGGAGGGGGCTATGCAGTGCAGAGCAGTAAGTGTTGGGTTACGTGGAGGGAGTTGCACGCTAATCTGGACTTGATCATGTTGTATTTATGGTAGTTGTGTCTATTCTTTCTCTCTTTTTTAAAGATGTAACTACCATCTTGAAGAGGAAGCATTCTTTTAACAGCGTGCCAGTTCTTGTCCATCCATACTATGCCTCTTTGGGAACAGCTCTCTACGGGAAAGATAGATCACAAATTAGGATGCCGGACCCAATCGGACTGCCAATAGATCCCTACCACTGGCAATTTTTACAGCAGAATCCACAGGGACTTCAGGAAATCAGCCATGCAATGGCAGGTTGCTATTGTGAGGTTGAGTGGCCTGCTAGGTATTGTTCACACCCAGAAATTACCCTGCGCCCTTCTTTTGCCTTATCTAAGCAGAAAAGCTTCCTGGTCAAGACCTGGCAAGAAAATGTTTCTACCCGTTTGACACAGTTCCTGTCCAAGCAGAAGGTTGCCAAGTGTGTACTGAATGCTGAAATCTGGGAAGCCATAAGAAATAACATAGTAAAAGATGACATTTGGATCTTGCCCGATATTGCAAAGGGGATAGTTGTCATGGTTGGGGCACCAGAAGCTGTCAGGTGCTTGGAGGAGGAAATGCAGGTGCTCATTGAAAAAGCTGCTAAAAAGATTGAAAGAGAGAAGCAAACAATAGAGGCAACTGTTCCTGTTGTTGCTGGAAAATACACTATTTTAAACAATGCTGGACTACAGGATAGTATCCACATGGAGTACCCAGATCTAAAGATTGCATATGATGCTTCCAGAGGGCTTATAACACTGCATGGTGTAGCTGCTGAAGTTTTTAAAATAAAAAGCGAAATTTTCGAAAGGATATCCCGCATGGAGCAACGATATGTTGATGTTCATCCTTACATTCTTCTTTTTATGCAACATGTAGATAATGAACATCTATCACAACACTTATTTTGGTCCAAAAAGATCAATGCATTCTATGAGCTTGAGGAGAAGGCGGTTCTACTGATTGGGGCAGCTCGCCAGGACCTTCAACGGGCTGAGGAAGAAATGAAGACGAAGCTGACCTGCAAATGTGTTGAACTGGAGGACAACTCGATTCTCGGAAAGAGAGAGTGGAAAGAACTGACCAACAGTTTGTGCAAGATTGTACAACTGAATAATTGTTCAAGTGAAACCATCAGAATTCAGGAGATGGAGGATCAAATAGTGATTGCAGGCTATTTCGAAGATGTAGGCAGTGCCTATCAGAAGATCTTTGATTTTGTTGACAGAAACACAAAAATACAAAAAACCATCAGGACTAAATCTACAGCAGTTACAATGTATGTGGAAGAGGAGAAGCGTAATAGTTGGCTTAAATTGGAGCAGCAAGGCATAACAATACGTTTTGGCATGCAGGCAAATCGCAGGCTGATTTCGCTGGAAGGACCCCGGGTAGAAGTCCTGAAGGGACTTGAGCTCTTTCAAAACACCCTGTCCTCTCTGTATTGTACTAAAATGGTAATAGATAAACCAGGAGCCAAAGAATTCTTCAAGGAACAAGAACATTTATATGTTGCTGGTGCCAAACAACAATTTAACTGTTTAATCAGGATTCAGGAAAGCTCGGAAGAAAGTGAAGAGGAGGGCGGAGATGTGAATAGACCTGAAGAAAAGAGACTGCCAAGCTGCGAAGTTAAGCTAGAAGGTGGCATCGTAGTAGCAGTTCATAAGGGTGACTTGACCCGTTACTCGGTTGATGTTGTGGTCAATGCATCCAATGAAGACCTGAAGCACATTGGTGGCCTTGCATATGCGCTGCTAAAAGCGGCTGGCCCACAGCTGCAAAGTGAGTGCGACGACCTAGTCAGGAAGTATGGATGTTTGAAGCCTGGCCGTGCAGTTAGAACACGTGCTTGGAATCTTCCATGTAAAGAATTGATCCATGCAGTTGGGCCGAGGTGGAACAGTTCAGAAAAAGAGAAATGTACCCAACAGTTAAAGGAAGCCGTGAAGCAAAGCTTAAACCTGGCAGAAACATATAGCCATCGCTCTATAGCCATCCCTGCCATAAGCTCTGGGATTTTTGGATTTCCATTAGACGAGTGTGCCCATACCATTGTAACATCCATTAAGGAACACTTGGAAGAAACCTCTGGGAGTGGCTGCCTAAAAAAGATACTCCTTGTGGATTCTAATGAAAATACTGTTCGGGCACTGTCAGAAGCTTTGAATGAAATATTCACAGACACACTGCCCCCATCTAAGTCTTCCTTAACCTCCAAAACTAAGAGCCACGCTACAAAGAGTAGGAAAGAACCTCAAGAAATAACTACAGCTGAAGGTGTGAAAATAGTACTACAGAAAAAGGGAATTGAAGACTCCACAGTAAGTTGCTGCTGCAGTTTTTTCAAACTCCTTTTTAAATAGTGTAGAGTGGACTAAATGGTCAATACAATTAAAATAAAATCTGCTTCAGTGCAGTTAGTTAGAAAAGCACAAAGGTGAAAAAACAAAGGAGATTATAGAATCATAGACTCAAAAATTGTGAAGTTGGAAGGGACTCTTCTGCTCTTAGTGACCCTTCATAGTAGCAATGTGTCTGTACTGCAATATGTATGAATTGAAGCTTGCTTACACCATTATTGGCCTAGGTGCCACAGAGTAAAATTACAGAATCTCCACAAATGTCTTCTTTCCCATCCCCTACAATAGTTAATGGCTTTTGCAACTTCTTAATTTTGAGTGTGTCAGTTCTTAATGATAGTTAAAGCTGGTAGAACTCTTTGCAACTTCTAACATTTCCCCTCTGTGTTGGAAGTCTAAGAACATCTGGAGGGTTGCAGGTTTTCCATCTCTGCACAGGCGGGCAGGCAGATAAGCGGGACTCCGCTTTGCTGCGTTGGGGGTGGGGTCACTCTGGTGGCGTTGGCAACGAGGGCTGGGCTGGTGTCCCCTGCCATCATGTGCTATTCCTGGCTTGTCTTTCTCCCTTTTCTTTTTTTAGGCGAATGTAATTGTCAACAGCGTTTCCAGAGACCTGCAGCTGGACAAAGGTCCGCTCTCCAAGGCTCTGCTTGCCCGAGCAGGAATGGAACTCCAGGAGCAATTGACCAAAGAAGGTCAAGGAAAGGACATCAAAGAGGGATGTGTGTTGAAAACAAATGGCTATGCTCTGGGTTGCTTTCATGTGCTGCATGCCCATTTGCCTTCTTGGAATCAGGGTAAAAAATCTAAGGTATGGCTTTATACTACCACCCAACGCAGTGGTGACTGGGGCAGAATGTGGGCAAGCCGACAGAAAGTGGAGCTGGAGTCAATGGCAGGCCGAGCCCACCCTCCTGCCTGCTGGGTTCTACAAGGGCAGCACTAAGGCCGAAGAGGGGGAAACTGTAAGGTGGTGGCACTAGGGGTTGCTTGTGAGGGAGAAGACAGGCAGGTGGGGAGCAGGCTGCAAGCAGACTGAGGTTGGAGGGCACTACCGCCATTTTCCCCAATGGACCAGCTTCCACTAGTCAAGTGTTCAGAAAAACTGACCGGAGATGTGTTATGCTCCAATTTCAGTTGAAGAGCCCATCCAGATTTAGATGTTTTTCATCTTGCTGGTTTGGGGAAGTTCAGCACCAACCTATTCAACTCACACGCATTTCCTTTTATCTGGATTAATTCAGCTGTGCTGGCTGTCTTGGAAACAGTTGCATCCATACAACTAATTTGATTTGTCTTGGGAACCATTTAATGGCAGATATCTAGAAGATGCCACCTGTCAAGAAACGCTTAAACTGCAGGTTCTAAAATGTTTCCTTTTCCGGCCTCCAGATCCTGGGAGAGATTGTTGAAGAATGTCTGGAAACCACTGAGCAGCTTTCTCTGAATTCCATCGCGATCCCAGCCATTGGGACGGGTAACTTACTATTTCCCAAGCAGTTTGTTGCTAAAGCAATGTTTGACGAGGTGTTCAAATTCAGTCGGAAAGCGAATCCCCACTCTCTTAAAGAAGTTCATTTTGTTCTGCATCCGAGTGATACGGATACCATCAAGGTAACTATCTCTTTTGCAGCATCCCTTTTGTTAAAGACAACTATTTGATATTAAAGATAGCTTTAGAAGATCCTAAGTATTACAGGAGCAGTCTCTCTCCCCCCCAAAAATCAGATCTAGCATGTCCCTCAAAATATGAATCTTTTCCTTATTGTATGGCCAATTTGTTATCTTGCTCCTATATTGTACATTGACACACGGAAAGTGAGGCAGAAAAGCTGCCTGGGACAATCTGCATCAATGAAATTACAGTAGTACCTCAGGTTAAGTACTTAATTCCTTCCAGAGGTCCGTTCTTAACCTGAAACTGTTCTTAACCTGAGGTACCACTTTAGCTAATGGGGCCTCCTGCTGTTGCTGCGCCGCCCGAGCACGATTTCTGTTCTTATCCTGAAGCAAAGTTCTTAGCCTGAAGCACTATTTCTGGGTTTGCGGAGTTTGTAACCTGAAGTGTCTGTAACCTGAAGCGTATGTAACCCATGGTATCACTGTACTGCATCAGTGCAAGAAAAAATCCTCTTCCACTTTGATGATATCCCTAACATCATCCTACCTGTTCTACTTTTCTCAACTAGGTGATATAGGCTAGATCGCAAATACTCAAGTACCGCATAGAAATGTGACCCCCTGCCCACCAAATGTGTTTTTTGTGACGGCTTCTCCTTAGACGGGGGTAACCAGTGCAGTGTCCTCATGATGTTGTTGGACTCCAACTCCCATCAGCCCCAGCCATCATGACCAGTGGTTAGGGACGATGAGAGTTGTAGTCCAATAACATCTGAAGAACAGCACATGAGCTACTCTAGTCCTAGGAAAATGGAGGGAAGTAGAATTTCACTGAAACTGCAGGATAGCCTTTGTCAACAGCTTTACAAAAGCTGGTTCTTTTGCACCATAAATCACTGGAAAGGAACCTCTGGCTCACTGGTGTAAATTAATCCTAGCAGGTGTCCCAATTTTGCCTATTATGAAGTCTCTTTCTCCCATCCAGCCCCTGTCCTGATGTCAGGTAAAGATGCAGTTGTGCTCCTGATTGTTCCTTGGCAAGTGGGGCTTGTATACAATGCCTTTTGAATTTTGACACCAAATGGGAGTTTCTGATCAGGAACTCTGTGGAGTGTAGCCAAGTCATGCGGAAAGCAGGCCCTGCTGTAATTTCAAGCCCTGCTGGGAAAGGTTACCCTCCTGAGAAGAGCTGATCCATGCAGGGCTTGAGGTTGCTGTCATAGCTGATCATCAGTGACTCATAGCGAGTAATCAAATGTGTATATGTTTATTTGGCACAATATTTCTGCTTCTGCTAGTCATGCAGATGACATGAATACGTTAAACACACACACCGAGTCCTACCCACCTTCATGAAAGAGACTTAAACTTTAGAGGCAGTGCCGATACTCTTTCAAACCTCTCATCTAAACAGTTAAAAGGTAAACATGGCTTCATAATTTCAACAGAATGACTGCAAAGGCAGTGATGTTCCAGAAGAAATACCACGTGGCACCCTTCTTGTCTCTTTTCCTGATAATGTGTTCATTGTAACGAAACCCTAAAAGCCTGCTTGAAGTTTTAGCCTGTTTTTATTGTGGATTCCCCCCCCCCCCTCCTCTAGGCATTTACAGATGAATTAAACAACAGACTGAATCCCAGCCAAACAAATATAGTACCTGACAGCTCCCAGCAGCTAGGTCAAGGTAAATCTTGTTGTTTTCAGAAAATCCCACCTGCAAAAACAAAAAGCAAAACGTTTGGAGCTTGGCCCAGAAATATTGGGAATTCTGGAATCTTCTAATGAGGAAGAAAAGCTGGAAGAGCTGAGGAAAGCTGCAGAAAACATTTTGAAGATCAAGGTTTTCATGTAAAATAAGGGAGAAGAAGAGCCAGTATATATTTATTCTCTCTACATAGGCCAGTAGCCAAATAGCAGCAGAGCTAGTCGTATGTGCATATTTTTCATCCCATGTGCCATGTGACAAACTGCATTTTGAAATGGGACGCTCAGAAAGTACTTTTGTGATATGTTGTGGGATAGCCCTTAGAACAGGAAAAGCTGACAGGTTCCACTGGGCTACTAAAAGCATCTTGTGTGAACCTACAGCAGCTCTTTGGAATCCTGGCCCTGACTCTAGCGGTGAAGTTAGTCCCAATAAGCAGTGTGTGAAGTAAACTCAGGTAGCAGTGAGCCTTGATCTTGCTAGGTATCCACCCCTCCGCTTTTATCTTCTATGGCATGATTTGTGAGAAGCCACCTTCTGCTTCAAACTAATGCCATTTTATGCCCAGGACTGGGAAAACTCCATCTTTTCCCAGTGTGGATTCTAGCAAAAGAAATAAAAATGATTTTATTTAACTCAGGGGCTGGATGCTTTCAACCTCCTCTTCCTTCACTGTACAGTAGTACCTTGGTTCTCAGTCTTAATCTGTTCCAGAAGTTCGTTCCAAAAGCAAAGCATTCCAAAACCAAGGCGCGCTTTCCCATAGAAAGTAGTGCAAAACAGATTACCGTATTTTTCGCCCTATAGGGCGCACCTACTTTTTTTGGGGGGGGGGGAAATAAAGGGGGAAAAAATTATCCCCCCCCCCGGCGTGGGGCATTTAGCCCAGCCCCCAGAATAGGCTACTATCCGCAAGCCTTCCCCCATCAGCCCCGACAAGCTCTGGGAGTATTCCCCACCTCCCGCAAAAGCCGCACGCTCTTTAAAGGGGCTGTGCGGCTTCTACTGGCTTTTCTAGGAGATGGGGGAACACACACATTTCCCCTTCATTTTTGGAGGGGAAAAAGTGTGTCCTATAGGGCGAAAAATACGGTAATCCATTCTAGACTTTTTAAAACAACCCCAAAATAGAAATTTAACATGAATTTACTATCCAATGAGACCATTGAGCCATAAAGTCAAAGCAATAAGCAATGTACTGTACTATGAAATAAATAAGACAGTATTGTAGATGATAAAAATTTAAATTAATTTTTTTTTCTTACCTGCACTGATGATAGTCATTGTTTGGATGGGGGGCTTTTATCTATTTCTGCAGTCACACAATCAATCCATCAGTAGCTGAACTGGGTTCCAGACAGTCACAAAAACAAATTAACTGAAAAAGCCTCAAAAACAAAAACACAAAATAAATAGCAAAAACAAAAGCACCAAACTTAATACATTCCGGAAGTCTGTTTGACTTCCAAAATGTTCGAAAACCACGGCACAGCTTCTGATTGGTGCAGGCGCCCCAGAAACAATAGCCGTCAACTACATTGGATGTTTGGCTTCCAAAAAATGTTCTAAAGCTGGAACACTTACTTCTGAGTTTTAGGTGTTTGGGAACCAAGGTGTTTGAGAACCAAGGTACCACTGTACTGGGGCAGAGAAGAGAAAATTGAGACTGCATGTGCCTGAGGCTTGATGTTGCTCATTCATGACCAGGGATGGCAATGTGGTGCCCTCCAGATGTTGTTGGACTAAGGCTTTTACCAGCTACAGCCAACATGGGTGTTGGAATGGTGGGTTTTGTAGTTCATCCACACCTGGAGGCAACTGCATTTGCTTACCCCTGTGCTACGACTATGCCTACTTTTGAAAAGCTCCAGTGTCTAATGGGGACCAAATTGGATTCAATCTGTGCTGCTTTTATTCAATTCAAAGTCCTGACTGGGGTGAAAGCTTTATTAAAATGATGAACTGAGCACAAAGAGTCATCTCCTGAAAAGCATTGGGTGGATACGTAAATATCCTACAGCTAAATGCTTAGGAGAAGGGGAGCCAAATATATAGACATTTATCTCTCTTCCCCTTTACAGCTTCCTTTGGGAGTATTTCATCGCCAAAGTCTGGAGTTCATAAAATGCAGATTGGCTCAGTTCTGTTGCAGGTGGAATGTGGAGATATCACCCAAGAAACCACAGATGCTATAGTGAACATAACCAATACCACGTTTGATCTTAAAGTTGGTATGTTACAAAACCTATGAGGTCATTCCCCGGAACCTGACGGTCTGTAATTGGTATATATGCCTGGGTGTACTCCCTCCAACCTTACCATTCCAATATTGATAAGCGAGTGCTTTGTTCGTAGCTATGTATCTAATTCAGTTGAAAGGAATGATGTTTGTTCTAGTTTTGGAATAAAGTCCCGTAGCTGGCAGAGGCATGTGATATACATGTGATACACATGTCATATTCCACACACACCCCATGCTCCACACACAACTATGTGCTGTACAGAAAAAGAAGCAACTGTGCGTATGCTTTGACATGACATCAATAGAAAGCCTCAGCCATTCTGTTCTTGGGGATCCCATTGTGGTCGAAAAATTGCCCTGGGATTTCCTGAGCTTTCCTACCCCAGTATAACTTGGTCTTCAGTATCATTCTGCCCAAGTGATAGGGATTTTACAAAGCATCAGATGCAGATGTGTAATAAAATGCTTGTCTCTATATGAGCAGTAGAGAGCTGGACCACAAAGCAGAGCTTTGACTTTGCTTCCAGTTCCTCACCAGGCACCTGATTGTTATCTATCATGGGAATGTTCCTTTTATACTGAATTCAGTTATGCATGCATGCTACATTCATAGGAACTTGGTTAAGGCTATATGTGCAGGTATCCTTTGCTGTATGTGGGTTGTTAATCTTTACAGGTAATCTTATTTTCTCAGAGAAATGTAATTTTTATTTATTTAAGGTGTTTCCAAAGCAATTCTGGATGGAGCTGGACCAGGGATGGAACAGGAATGTGCTCAACTAGGTACAAATCTACTTTTTACATAAGCAGGGGTGGGTTTGGTTCCCCTCCCCACCGCTGCCCAGCACTGGTGGTCGGTAGTGAATGCCAACAACTTTCTTGATCTTTGAAGCATGAGTAGTTACAGGCCAGTGAAACATGTTAAATGCTGTTTATGCCCGAAGATAACTGAGAGTGACTGTTGATCATTTGCTACTTTGCACTTCCCTGCTCCTTAATTGATCCTTAACAAGTTATTGGATCTTAACTGTATACAGCCAGTACAAAAGTAGTGTCTGTGATTTGGCAGGAAATTGCATGTTGGTCATCCACATGGCTATGAAGTGTCTCATTTCATTTAGCTGCAGAAGGTAAAGTAAAATGTTAGCCATCTGTATGTAGGAGCCTTGTCTTCTTCCTTCTGGTCGTGGTAGCCAATAATTTCTCCAAGTAGTCAGTGGGTTCTGCTTCCTGCTTCACACAGGCAAACTTAAGAAGTGTGTGCTCCTTTTTGTCCCTGAGGAATTCTCAGTTGTGCAGGGAACTTTTGTATCTGTGGAGACTGCCTGCTGCAGAGATTACTCCTTATTCTGTGAGGGACCAGGAGAATTGTCATGGTCTTGTGGGTGGGGCTAAATGTGCAGCCCTGCTATAGCCTCTTCGGTCCTCAGTGGGCTGAACAGCTTCACAGAATGGATCTTGCATACCTGGGGACATAAATATCTCCCTCTTAAACAGAACTGCGTTGCTTGTCAGTTTATCAGTGGTATAAAGTGCAGGCAGTGAGGGGAGGCCCTGCTTGCTTAGAGGGTATGGGAAGCAGCACAGAAAATTGGATATTTGGGTTGTTTCTAACACCCTTCCTGGTGTGAATGTTGTTGAGGGCAAAACAGCATCTGCCCCGGAGATGAAATATTGCTGTTTCAGGACTGGAAGAACAGGATATATCTGGAACAAAATTGTGGAAGGATATGGGAGCTCTGTGCACGCAAAAATTGTATGGAAAGGCTTCTAAGATGGATGGCATATACTCCTCCTGAGTAGAGGCTGCCTTGTTTGTTCCACATATCACTCTCCCCCCGCCCCTCATTTCTTTCAGCTACTCAGCCTCACAACAATCTCATATGCACGCAAGCAGGAAACCTGAAGTGTAAAAATGTAATCCACCTTGTGGCCCAAGAAGATACCAAGGCACAAGTCTCCAAAGCTCTCGTGGAATGTGAACAAAGGCAATTTTCCTCTATTGCTTTTCCTGCAATTGGGACAGGTCTGTATTGCCTTGAGGGAAAACAATGGTGCAGCAGTAAGTGGGTGGCATAATTGAACTTCCAGTGGTGCTAATGGTAGTGGCTCAGTATTTTTATCCTTTATTCAGCAAAATGTAGACACCACTCAATTGTAACAAAAATACTAAGTGGCACCACAATACTAAATAAGAAACATGGGGAAGGTTAAGATCGTTGACACTGCTGCTCCACTCCTCATCAGCCCTGCCCCACACCCTCCTTGAGTGTTTTTGGCTGGCTGGGATATTATTTTGAACTTGTGATAATGTTTCTTGCCTGCTGCGTTGAGAATAGAGGTGTGTGCATTGTGTGTGTGTGTGTGTGTGTGTTTGGGTAATACAGTAATGCACAAAGGCTTTTTCTGTGTCTAAAAATATAAGCGCTGCTTCTTTATCATTTTTTTTCTATTATTTCTCATCTCTCTGTCCAGTAAAAAGCCTGTTTGGTCTTCACGTATGTATGTTTTCAGAGTTTCTTTCATTCTTTTTGCCAAAATAGCTGAAACACGTTTATAATCATTGTTTAATAGTGAGATGGGCCTAAAGTCTTCGGGGTTCTGTATCTCTTTCTCAGATTTGGAACTTAATGTTATGAATGCCTTCTTCCAAGTTTTGGGTATGCCGTCTCCTTTTGGGGCTCTATTCATTACTTCATTCAGTGGAGGAATTATGATTTCTTGAAATTTTTTATAATAGGTAGATGTGAGTCTATCAGGTCCTGGCGATTTTCCTGTTTTTTGCTTGTTGTATGCCAATAGTTATCTCTTCCGTTGATATTGGTTCATTAAGATAGTTTATTTGTTTCGTTGTTAGTCCAGAATTTTTATTATTATTGCAGGTCAAGCAAAACGTGACCCAACTGCAGTGGCCAATGATATGATAGATGCTATAGTAGACTTCATAAGTCAAACACCTTCTCCACAGGTGAAGATGATTAAAATAGTAATTTTCCAGCCACATCTTCTAAGTATTTTTTTTGCAAGTATGCAAAGAAAAGAAGCTGCACCTAGCAAGCATGGTGGCACATCCTCGTCAAACTCCATTTTTTCTAGATTAGTAGGTAAGTAGACAGCTTCTATATGTGTAGAACTTCTTGACTGCAGATGCATTGAGTAGTTAAAAGCATAACCTGTCCCTGAATTGATGTTCTGTTGCAGATTTCTTTAGCTTCAGAAAATCTGCTGAGGGAGCTAACCCTACAATACTTTTGGAGAGAACAGTAGAGCCAACCATTTTTCAAATCTGTGGTGATAGCCGGAAGAATGTCGAAGAGGCAGAATTTTGGATGAAAGATCTGATTTTGAAGGGCCAGTATGAAACAGTTGTCTCAGATAAATGGATCTCAAACTTTGGAGAAAGCGAATATGAAAAACTGAGAGCTCTTCAGCAGCGGCTGCATGTTGCTATTAGGCTAGAGTATAAAGATTCTTCTCCTTCCCTCCACATTGTTGGCATAACCAAAGATGTCTTGACAGCCAGCTCAGTAATTAAAAGCATGGTCCAAAGCATGGAGGAGCAGTCAAAGGCAGATATTCTCAGCAACTTTGTTGAGTGGCAGTATGAAGACAATGGGAAATACAAAGCCTTTGATAGCCTGACAAATATGTACTTAGAATCTGCAGCACACCAGCTTGAAATAACCATAAGGAACAAAAGCTACAAAGTGGACCCAAGTAAACAGTGTGCAGTGGATAACCAAGGGAGAAGCATCACCCTTCGCCGTGTATCAAAAGCTGAAGGTAAGCTTCTAAGGCATGAACAAATTGATCAGTTCTGTCCCTTGTATTCTCTCTGTGTGTGTCTCACACACAAACACACACTTGTGCATATCCAACATTTCTGCCTAGTAAAGCTCTGAAGGAGATAGGCCTTGAGTCCAGATCCAACCTCAACTTGCTTTCCACCGGCAACCTTCCTGGACATTTGCTTATATGAAAAGTTGCCTGCTGTGTAACCGTATTGCAAGTTACTAAGTGTGGTTTCACAGATGGCATGGTGCTGCATGGGTCTTTTACTTCTCTTCCTCCTTCTTATTTAGAAACTGAGTTAATGGCTGAAAAACTTTTATTTTGGCTGAGGCCTGCATAGAGCAAATAGCTAACTTGTTCAGTCAGACCCGACTCCTCTAAGTCAGCTGCCCAGGAGTTGGTCTTCGCCTGAGTCCTACATAGCTGTCTCTCCTGTAGGGGCCAAATGTGGGCTTTCAGGCCTGTCTGTCTTGCCTTGAGGAATCTACCTAGGCCAAACTTCTTCCCAACCCTGTTCTGTGTTCTCCTCAAGTGATTTTGCCTAGCTGGAACGGGTGCATAAACCGTGATAAGGACTCACCAATTTAAAATGACAACAGATGGCAATGCCGCTCAAAATACTAACTTGAAACCTCAAACTGAAAGTTCATACCGAAACTGAAAAGTGTCCTGAAATAGGCTTCTATGTCCTTAGTCATGGCACTAACAGCACCATGTTCATTACACAGGTAATCTGGCAGTGGACTTACCTGAACAGTGGGAAGACATGGGGCAAGCACATCTCAAAATAGTGGAGCTAAAACCAGAAACGGAGGAATATCAAACTGTCAAGAAGATGTTTCTCCAGACTTGCAGCGTATTTACTATTGTAAAGGTAAAAACATTATTTTCAAAGTCTTGTTTGTTTTTTTTCTGTGGGGTCCCTCCTTTCATAGTACACAGCTTATACCAAGGGCCCCTCTACACATGTGTTTTTTGTTTGTTTTTTTACATCCATGATGGACCTAAACACAAGAGCATTCTCTCCTGCGGATCTTCAGAAGCATTTCTGCCTACGACCATTTAGCACTTATGCTGCTGGAAAGCAGTAGCTAGTACAGTGGTACCTCGCAAGACGAATGCCTCACAAGACAAAAAACTCGCTAGACGAAAGGGTTTTTTGTTTTTTGAGCTGCTTCGCAAGACGATTTTCCCTATGGGCTTGCTTCGCAAGACGGAAACGTCTTGCAAGTTTGTTTCCTTTTTCTTAACACCGTTAATACAGTTGCGACTTGACTTCGAGGAGCAACTCATAGTGTGGTAGCCTTTTTTGAGGTTTTTAAAGACTTTGGTGATTTTGAAGCTTTTCAAAAACTTTCCCGACACCGTGCTTCCCAAGACGAAAAAAATCGCAAGACGACAAAACTCGCGGAACGAATTAATTTCGTCTTGCGAGGCACCACTGTAAATTAAGAACTTAATTCTTTCCGGAGGTCCATTCTTAACCTGAAACTGTTCCTAACCTGAGGTACCACTTTAGCTAATGGGGCCTCCCTCTGCCGCTGTGCCGCCACTGCATGATTTCTGTTCTCATCCTGAAGCAAAGTTCTCAACCCAAGGTACTATTTCTGGGTTAGCGGAGACTGTAACCTGAAGCGTCTGTAACCCAACGTACTACTGTATTGGGTTGATTCACCCTAAGGCTCCAAATCTGTTCCTTGTTCAAGTGATTTAAAATTTTTATTCCCAGTGATGATACTGGTTGTTATCGGTGTTCTGTCTTTTTACTTGTAGATTGAGAGGATCCAAAATCCCTACAAATGGCAGCAGTACCAAATAAAAAAGAAGGAGATGGATGACAAAAATGGCCATACAAATAATGAGAAGCCCCTTTTTCATGGAACAGCTTTTACATCGATAAAGCTCATAAATGATTACGGGTTTAATCGAAGTTATGCAGGAATGCACGGTTAGTTGATTATAAAAGTGTGGCTTTTGTATGAATGGCTAGTGACTCTTCATGTGCCAAACACATTATTCTCTCATGTTTCTATGTATGGGGTTAAAAAAAGAGTGATTGTTGTGCATCAATGTCTGCAGATACCGTATTTTTCGCTCAATAACACGCACCTGACCACGTACATAGTTTTTAGAGGAGGAAAACAAGAAAAAAAAAATTCTGAATGAAACAGTGGATGTATCATTTTTGTGCTTCATGCTGTGGCCACAGACATGTGATTTGACGGTGAGTTTGGGGTGGCCCAATGCAAAAATCCTGAGAATCCATGTGGATCTGTGCTTTGTAACCACGTTTTTGCACCACTGCAGCCCCAGGCAACAGTGGGTGCGTGATTTTTTTGGTGCAGGCTGTAGCCATGGACATGCTATGTGATCTGATGGTGAATTTGGGGTGACCCAATGCAAAGATCCTGAGGATCCATGTGGATCTGTGCTTTGTAACCACGTTTTTGCACCATTGCAGCCCCAGGCAACAGTGGGTGTGTGATTTTTTTTGGTGCAGGCTGTAGCCATGGACATGCTATGTGATCTGATGGTGAATTTGGGGTGACCCAATGCAAAGATCCTGAGGATCCATGTGGATCCGTTCTTTGTAACCACGTTTTAAGTGGGGAGGGAAGGAAAAACATAGAAGAGACAAGGAGCACGAGAGGGGTGTGCGGAGAAGCAGCTGGCTAAGAATGCAGGAGAGGGATTTAACGGGAGGGAGGAAAGGAAGGCAAAAGTCCCCCCCACCCACCCAAGCCAGCCCTCTCTCTCTCTCTCTCTCCTCTCTCCCCCACCTGCATGTTTTCCGGCTGCCTGGAATGCTTCCCTGGAAGCAGCAGCACCAGAGCATGGAGAGGAATTAGAAGGAAGGACGCGATCCTTTCCTTTCCCCTCTGCTTGCCTGGAGGGGAGGGGATTTCCCTGCTCTTTGTTCCGTTTGAGCAAACAGCAACCGAAACAGAACAGGGTGGGCAGTAAGACCCTGAGGCAGAATGCAGGAAAGCAGCAGCTTCCTCTTTTCAGGCGTCCCTCCTCCCGTGATGGCGCGGTATGATTGCCCGATTTTTGCCTCTGCACTCGGGACAGTCGGCTCCAGGGACCTTCCCCATCTGTGATTATTATTATTATTAAATTTTATTAGTCGTCATTTACTAAAAGTGCTCATCTTGCAGTATTGTAAAAAGGACAAATTTTACCCCACCCCGCTGCAGTGTGTCTGATTATGTCTCTATTATAAAAGAGGAGTAAAGGTATAAGTATTCTCTTTCATGGTTACACTTTATGGCTGAAAAGAAAAATTGCAGCTGCTTGAAACTCTGTTTTTGTATTACAAATTTGGCTGCAAACTAGTTATGGCTATTCATTGATTAGGAAGGACTCTTCTCATTCTCAGAGGCTCTCAGAATTTTTGGCTGAGCCTTTATTGCTTGACAAGAGTAAGTGTAATAGTGTTCCCAAGGCAAGTGGAGGCTGCATTGGATAGGAGATTTACTCCTTTTTTACATTAGATTTTCTTTTCTAAGAATTCGGTCATCCCCCAAAAGTGCAAGGGCAACTTTTTGCTTTTTAAGGATCTGAGCTGCTTGCTCCTTCTGCACAAGAAGCAAGGTAAAAAACCTTTCCTTTTCAACAGAGCTCTCTGCTGTACCAGGACAGCTTAGAAACGAGGAGGAGATGGCTCATCTGCCTTCTTTCTGAGCCTCTGCAGAAACAGTGCCTTGCAGAAAGGCAGGAAAAAGCTGTCCCACCCTGCGCCACTTCCCTTAGATGGGTAAATGGCAAGCTCAATTGATGGCTTTGCTCCCAAGGTGCATGAACCGAATTCTGCTCACATGGCAGAGCTTAGTTTTGCAAGAGCATCTTGGGATCCAGGCTAGAAGCCTTCTCCTTAGCTCTGGTGAGAGGCAAGTATTTTCTAATTAGTGCAGGGTGGGGGGAGGCAATGAAGGAAAGTTGTGTTGCTAGTATATAGAGAAAGAAAGCACAGTCAATAGACAAGCTTGAACCTTGGAATGAGAAAAGCACACCCTTAGGCAGACCTGCCATCTTAAAAAAACCCTTTTGTTAGCAGCATCACTGCAATGACTTGTTGTAGTCTGCTAATAGGAAAAGGAAACTTCCCCAGTTAAGTGTCTGTTAAACTGTGTGTGTTGCTGGGGCCTTTCAAGAGTGAAAGGATAATGGTACTTTGCAATTACTGGCTGCTTTAAACTTTTCATTTATCTTTACAGCTGCAGCATATGGAAATGGAACCTATTTTGCTGTAAATGCCCAGTATTCTGCCTGTGATACTTATTCAAAACCAGAAGCTGATGGGAAAAAGTACATGTACCTTGCTCGAGTACTCACCGGAGAATATTGCCCTGGAGCGCAAGGATTAGTTGTCCCCAAACCCAAAAATGCAGCCGATCCCACTGTTCTCTTTGACAGTGTGACTGATAATGTTTCTAAACCTTCCTTGTTTGTCATTTTCAATGATATCCAGGCATATCCAGAATATCTCATCACTTTTAAGAAGTAAACTTTTCTCTATCTTGCACTTACCCTGATGAAAAGAAGTGCCTCTTGTTATGTAGTAGCATGCTGATACTGTATTACCTGTACATAAATGGATCTGATTACGAAATAAAATGTTGATTTGGGCTACTTGCTGAGTAAAAAACTTTTTTTTAAATGATATTTATTCAAAATTTCATCAATACATAAACAGGAAAAAAGAAACAAGAAAAACAGAAAAATACAGCAAAAAATAAAACAAAAAGAAAAAAACCAAAAAAGAAAGAAGAAAAATACAAATCTCAGATTACAACTTTTCATTTGCTTATTTCTTGAACCTCCTCACGCCTCCCTTTTTGTATTCTAGTTTAATTTGTTATTCCAGCAAATTCTTCCCATGTTTTTCAATTTTAGTTTAAAAGATTAGTCTTCACAATCTATCTTATTTATTAATTCAACATAACCTTTCCATCTTTTAATATAATCTGTTATTCAATTTACCTTAATCTCTTTAACCTTATCTTATCATTAAAAATCTTAAAATTTCAAAGTTTACATCATATTGATACATATCTCCTTAAATCATTTCTGCTAAAGCCAATTTAGTTCCTTTCCAGCATATTCCCTAATATTTCATTAATGTTGCACTAATTCCAAAATTAACAAAAGAATTTCCCTTGATATCTCTAATTTTTATCCAATGTCCTTTCTTCCTGGTTTCGGGTCATGTCAGTCCTTTCTGTCCATTACATCCAGTCCATCAATCTGGTGTTCTTATGTCCGAGGCCCTTAAGTCTCTTCTAGGCCCCTTCTGCAGATTTTCTTGTTCTTGTTTGTACTTACGCACTTCTTTATCTATTGTTGGTTTCTTGGGGAGTGGGTCTCCAGAGGGTTCCATCCGGTAATAATTTCCATTTTCCTTGGTCAGACTGGCCCCTTCCCCCCAGTCCCACTCTCCGTCGTCATCTTTGTAATCCAAAAAATATTTATCCAAAAGATAGTTGTTCACCTGTTTCATAGTCCCACTAGAGTTAAGAGCTTCCTTAACTTCAAACACTTCCCAGCACTCCAAGTTCAATCTTCCAACACAGTGGCTTTTGTTCCTGCAGGACTTTGGGGCTCTCCATTTGTGTTGTTTGAGGAGTAATCACTACCTCTTCCTTCTTCATCTGCCCTTGGACTTGCCTTGTCAAACCAGATTCCTGAATTGGTCGCTGTATAACTTCTTTATCCTTGTTCCCTGTTAAATCATATTCACTGGCCACAGCACTCATCAAGTCCAATTTTTCATGCATCAAGTTCATTTTCTCATACAGCTGCTCCAGCAAAGCATTTGTCATACCAAGGGCAGACACCAAACCTTCCTTCCAACACATTTCTGTTCAAGGTCAAACGGCTGGTCCCACGATCCAAATCTCACAACAAACTGACAGGCTCCCTCTAGGGGACACAATTTCTATTTGTATCCATTTTTAAAATGTATCCAACAAAGAAGATTACTTTCGATTTCAAATCCTTTTGATTTTCAGATACTTTGTTTCTTTAAAATTTGTTTCTTTTTACTTGCTGAGTAAAAAACTTTTTTTATTTTAATTCTTGAAGTGGAAAGTTTGGAAGGGTCGAACCTTTTCAGGTTGCTCAGCGTGTTTGAAACTAGGATAAACAATGTACAATTAATTAGGAAAGGTATAAATAAGTTTAGGAGGAGGATAGCATGGCTAAGGAGCAGAGTCAAGGAAGGTAAGAGTTTTTTAGTTTTTGGGTTTTTTTTAGTGAAGCGCCACTTAAAGCACCACTCTTTCAAATCAGAACCAGTGAAGGCAGTGAATGTCCTGAGTGAGTACCTGGAGGTGGTTGGAGGATGGATGGCGGCTAACAGATTGAGGTTGAATCCTGACAAGACAGAAGTACTCTTTTTGGGGACAGGAAGCGGGCAGGTGTGGAGGATTCCCTGGTCCTGAATGGGGTAACTGTGCCCCTGAAGGACCAGGTGTGCAGCCTGGGGGTCATTTTGGGCTCGCAGCTGTCCATGGAGGCGCAGGTCAATTCTGTGTCCAGGGCAGCTGTTTACCAGCTCCATCTGATACGCAGGCTGAGACCCTATCTGCCCACGAACTGTCTCGCCAGAGTGGTACATGCTCTAGTTATCTCTTGCTTGGACTACTGCAATGTGCTCTATGTGGGGCTACCTTTGAAGGTGACCCAGAAACTACAACTAATCCAGAATGCGGCAGCTAGACTGGTGACTGGGAGCTGCCGCCAAGACCACATAACACCAGTCTTGATAGACCTACATTGGTTCCCAGTACGTTTCCAGGCACAATTCAAAGTGTTGGTGCTGACCTTTAAAGCCCTAAACGGCCTTGGTCCAGTATACTTGAAGGAGCATCTCCACCCCCATTGTTCTGCCCAGACACTGAGGTCCAGCACCGAGGGCCTTCTGGCGGTTCCCTCGCTGCGAGAAGCCAAGTTACAGGGAACCAGGCAGAGGGCCTTTTCGGTAGTGGCACCTGCCCTGTGGAACGCCCTCCCACCAGATGTCAAAGAGAAAAACAACTACGGTACCAGACTTTTAGAAGACATTTGAAGGCAGCCCTGTTTAGAGAAGCTTTTAATGTTTGACAGACTATTGTATTTTAATATTTTGTTAGAATCCGCCCAGAGTGGCTGGGGAAACAGCCAGATGGGTGGGGTATAAATAATAAATTATTATTATTAATTATAATACGCAGTTTTCCTCCCCTCCAAAATCAATTCAACTTTTCATAATCTAAAACACTTTCCTCTCTAAACTAAAAGGACAAAGTATTCCAACTAAAAGACGAAAATGATTTGTTTCATTTGATCCAGGACACGTCACGGACCAGTCCTGAAAATGTGGAGTAACGAACCCTGTTCATGTGTACAGTACATCAGAGTAACTGCAGTCAGCCTCTTATGTCTGAGATTAGGGAGAATAATTTTCAGGCAGTGTTAGAAACGGATATGAAAGTTAAGAGCTAAATGGTACCTTAAACTTAGGTTATGGGTGCAACAACGGAACGTCTACAAGAATACAAAGCTGAAAATGAATTGCAGCTAAAATGTTATATTCATTTTTTACATAGTCTAGTCCTTCCCCTGCCCACCCACCTAATATTCTTAAGAGGGTCTCTTCTCCAGTCTTTAGGGAGTAGCTGGAAGTGGGGAGGCAGAAAAAGGTCCTTTCCTTCCACTCTGCAGTTTTAATCGGAAATCTTAGGCACAGTACTGCGCCCAGAACTCAGAAACTGCCCACGCTAATGAAATTCCCTGTTGCAAAATGCGCCTAGAACAATGGGAGTTTCAAACACTTGTTCCCAGGTTTGGAAGGATGTAGAGTCGGTGTGATATTTTGACAGGCATAGACCCCAAACTTCATCATTTTAGAAATTTACTGACCAGCTAACAAACAAGAAATAATAGCACCAGCATTTTCCTCCAAGATATTCTTGATTTAAGCTAAGGATCGACCTTGTTGAAGCAGATTCACATCCCTTTTTCTGGAAACCCTCTGGACTTGCATGTCGCTCAGATCAGGCTTCACTGGCCCACCCAGCAGCTCCTGCAACTTTTAATGAGTGGATGCAGGGAAATATAGTAGTTAATGCAGACTTTGCTTAGTACAAGCTATCCATAGTTTTAGGCTGGAATTAGTTGAGTGGTTTTATTTTATAAAATTGCTTGACATTCTCTTAGAGATATGCCCCAGTTATCCTAGTGGAAGAACCAATACTGGTTACAATACCAGGACCGGAGACTGTTTTATGAAGACATGTTTAAAGGTAAAGGTAAAGGTACCCCTGACCGTTAGGTCCAGTCAAGGACGACTGGGGTTGCGGCACTCATCTCACTTTATTGGCTGAGGGAGCCGGCATACAGCTTCCAGGTCATGTAGCCAGCATGACTAAGCTGCTTCTCGCGAACCAGAGCAGAGCACGGAAACACCATTTACCTTCCCACCAGAGTGGTACCTATTTATCTACTTGCACTTTGATGTACTTTCGAACTGCTAGGACATGTTAGTTCAGTCTATTTAAATCAAGGCTCCAAATAAACACCCCAGTTTCACAAAGCCACATTCATGTGGTTTATTAATCAACAGGAAACACGAACTTAAAAATCATCACATTGTATTCAACACAGCAATGTTCCATCAGTGTAAGGACTTTTTTGTGTTCTCCCCCACCCCTGCGCCCTTCCCATTTGTTCTGGGGTATTCTCAACTATCCAGAGCAGATTTGGGGGCACTCAGCAGGAGGAAAGGGGAGAAGTGTCCTTGCCCTAGTGATAATCATTGCCCTAGTGTACAAATTAATTTGAAAGCAGCCCAGAATTGAACAAACTGCAGACACTTAAAGATGGATCTTCATATTTATACATATGAAATCACAGTTGCCCACATGGGATTAATAAAACTTGTTACTCAGTCTATAGTTGTTAATTGCATATGGGCATTTTTAATTTGTTTAAAATAACTAAACAAATCCGTAAATCATTTGCGGGATTCCGGAATGAATTTAAACTACACTTCAGGAGCAGCTGTCAATCTCCCCCCCCCTCTCCCCCCCCCGCCCGCCGCACTCCAAGGCTGCGCGCTCTTCCCTTGCCATTACCAGCAACTGGCACTCCAATAAATACATGTTCTACCCAGAGGTAGAACACGAAATTAAAATGCTTTTTTTTAAAAAAAAAAAGGCGATGCGGGAAGAAAGGTCTGAAAGCTGTAACGATGAGGACGTCGAAAACTCTGCTCCAACGTAGTGTGAATAATACCCATCTACGATACAGCTCTCCAGTTACCGTTTTGGGGCACCAGCCTCCGCTTTGGTCGGCTGTTTTTTGCCTCTCTCCTTTTTAGCCTTTTTAGCAGCCGAATATCTGATTCTACTTTACACTCCAGCTGTCACTGGTTTGCTCGGGTTTCTTCCTGGAAAACACCGGAGGCAAGGAAGGGGTGGCCAGGGTTGGGTTGGAGGCGGAGGGAACCACCCACCGGCCCTTCCCTTTTCCCCAATATCGCGTCACAGCCAAGAAAAAGCTCGGGAGCGGCGCCCATATAGGAAAACGAAAATGAAAGTGACGGCTCCTCGGCCACTCTCGGCAACATGGCGGAGGGGAGGAGGCCCTTGTCTCCATTCGCCGTGCGGGTGCAGGCGGATTGGGGGACCCCAGAACCCCCCAAACAGCTGAGAAACAAACTTTTGCTCTACTTCCAGAGCCGGAAGAAGTCGGGAGGCGGAGAGTGTGAGATCCAGCTGCAATCCGGACAGGTCTTGGTTTGCTTTGCTAAGGAAGAAGGTAAGAGAGAGAGAGAGGGAGGGAGAAAATTCCCCTTCTTTTCCTGGGACTGGTGCTCCCCCTCGATGCATTTGTAGGACGCTTCCAGAAAGTAGTTTTGCAGCTTTCGTGGGAGGGAAGGGGGGCGAGTTGTTATGTGCCTTTAATAAATATTAAAAAGAAGGGCGTTCCCGCATAGGAGACACCAAAAAGAGGGGCTTCAGGTTTAGTCACGCTAAACTGCTTTAACAGCGCCATTCTGTGTAAACTGAAGCCCCTCACTGTGTCTATTGGGTCTTATTCCTTGGGTTGCAATCTTAAACCTACTCCCTAAGTCTGTAAAAGGTAAAGGTAAAGGGACCCCTGACCATTAGGTCCAGTCATGGCCGACTGTGGGGTTGCGGTGCTCATCTCGCTTTATTGGCCGAGGGAGCAGGCGTACAGCTTCCGGTCATGTGGCCAGCATGACTAAACAGCTTCTGGCGAACCAGAGCAGTGCATGGAAACGCCGTTACCTTCCCGCTGGAGCGGTATCTATTTATCTACTTGCACTTTGACGTGCTTTCGAACTGCTAGGTTGGCAGGAGCAGGGACCGAGCAACGGGAGCTCACTCCGTCACGGGGATTCGAACCTCCGACCTTCTGATCGGCAAGTCCTAGGCTCTGTGGTTTAACCCACAGCGCCACCCGTGTCCCCCTAAGTCTGTAGCTAAACCTAATAACGTAAAAGTGAAACCCCTGGCAATCCTGACAGAAGCTGTCTTGTGATTAACCAGGGGCAAGAGTCCAGCAAGTGGCCTGTGAGATAGAAACAGCTCTACTAGACAGGAGTAGTACAGCACAAGGGAAATACGGCTTATGGGGGAGCAGCTGGTGTGAGGGGAGGGATATTATCATCTGGGACATCCTCGTGCTCACTAAGGAACAAAGGTTGAAAATGTGTCCCTTCTTTCGTCGTTATGTAGGCATACATAAAACAGTTCTGTTAATTAAAATGAAAAACAAACAAATGTACCAATAACCACCTTCGCTCTCTGAATATCCCCTACTCAGCAAATTGAAGAAGGAGAAAGAGATAAAGAAGAACCACAAAAGGAAGGAAACTGGGGCGTTAGCCACAAGATACATAGAGAAATAAGCAAAACAAAATAATCGGAAGTCAAAGAGGTTTCAGACTAGATATGACTGCATACCCCCACACCAATATAATTCCTTTAGTTCTGTGCCTGTTGAGTTCAGAATTTTATCATGTGGTGGAGTTGATTGCCTCCCTGTTGGATTAAAGAATTCTATCCCCAGATCAGGATTTATCATCCTAAATTCCATTGAAACTGATGTTTGACCTTTGGTGTCTGGTCACTCAAAATAGGAAGGCTTGCTCACATCAGTCATGAGTCCAAATACTAACTGTGGAATTCAAGAAGATACACACCTCTTATTTATTTTGGCGTGGAGAGGGATCGCTTAGTCATTATGAAACTGACTGCAAACAAAACTGCTTGGCCCTTTCTCTTTGCTGCCTGAACATAGCCATGAACATTTCTAGAATCTCTACAGGGATAGGGAGCCAAAGGCCCTCTAGACTCTGACCCCTATCAGCTCCAGTTAGCATGGCTCATGTTCCATGTGGATGATGGGAGTTGTAGTCTGGCATCTGGATGGTTGCAGGTTTTCCCATGCCTAACCAAGGAGCAGTAAGCCAGCATGGTGGTCGCTCTGTTATCATGATGACAGTAATTTATTTTTTTGTTTCAGTGAGGCAAAGGGTTCTTTCCAAAGAGACCCATGAACTTGACCTAGAGGGAAAAGGAACATTGAAGCTGGTGGTCACACAGCATGAAAAAACTGCCAAAGAGAATGTGCCCAAGAAGGAAACTGATCTTCATCAGGTATTAAGGCAATATTTGACCTGGTGGAATCTAGAGCTCTGAAGCCAAGATGTTCACCAAAGCAACAAATCAATATGCTGTCGTTCTCTTTTTAGGCTTCCAGGGGAAAAGACGTGGCAGAAGAGACTGGTATGGTGGTTTTCTTTCAGTATCATTATCATGCCAGGGGCAGGGGTGGGTGGGCTTTCCTATCCCTAGCCAAAGGTGGGGTGGGTATTTTTTTGTTCTGTTTTTACAGAAAGAAAGCCCAGGCAAGCCCACTGAGGCCACCATTCTCTCCTCCTACTTCCAAGCCAATGATTTATATATATATATAATGATGATACTCACCCTGTCATCTGGGGCTCGGACCACATTCTTTGTGACACACAAAGAATATTTCTCTGGTGATGGTTCTCAAAAATAAGGAAGCAATATGCAAAAGCAGGTCCACAGACAGCTTGGACTGCAACAAAATGGGGGTGCCTTTTTTGTTCTGGGAACTTGTATCCTGGAAAGAAACAATTGGACCATTCCCAGAGCAATAAAAGGTGGGTGGGTGGAGTGGGACCTCCCACTTTCAGAGCAAGGATAGTAGAATTTTGTGCTCCGCCTGTTTCTTCCATGTAAAAAATAAAATAAAATCTGCAGCCCAGATGAATTATTATTATTAGTATTCATTTATTCATTCATTTATTTGATTTCTGTACCGCCCTTCATCTGAAGATCACAGGGTAGTCTACTGTATAAAAACACAAAATACCTACAAATACATTCCATCAGGGCTTTTTTTCAGCTGGAACTTGCTGGAACTCATTCTGGTACCTCTCAGGTGAGCGCCATTGCCATTTTAAGAGAACGAGGGAGGCGTTCATGGTGAGTTCCGGTACCTCTTTTTCTAGAAAAATAGCACTGCATACCACAAACACATTAACTTCTTACTTAATTTCTGACTCTTCAAGAGACATGCTTTTTTCAGGGTTTATTTACTAACAATCACAGAATTCTGATCAATACAGTAAGTTTCTTTTTCTTCCTTTAGTTAGCTTCTGCCCAGTAATTTGGTGATTTATTCTGGTTTGCTGTGAGCATAGTTCCCTCAGTAAACATTATGGGCTTGGGTGGAAGCATATTAATGGCTGCTGGAACAGTATTTAACACCATATTACACACAAAAAAGAAGAGGATGTAGATTAAGGTTAAATCCCAGAAAAATAGTTGGCACACTGTTCTGTCTATGCTGACAAACACTGAGTAGTTGCATATTTTACTCGTTTTTTTCTCAAATCAGATGTGCAGCAAGACTTGCAAAAAGAGGGCATCAAAGCAAACAGATCGACACATGAAACTCCCTGTCACAAGGAGGATATCCTCACCAAATCCCACACCTCTTCCCGTGTCATTCTTGAAAATGTTGAGGAATTTTTCGACAAGCCTGATGTGTTAAATCTGCTTGTAGAGAATATCAGTGGACTCTCAGAAGGAAGTGATTTTGAGATTGAACAGATAAACGAGAGAAATGCCGCAGTGATAACCTTTCAGCAAAGTATCGGTAAGAAATGGTAACTTTGTGTTGCTTGACAATTTCACATTGGGAGAATTGTTGGTGTTGATTCCTTTTAAAACAATTCCATTAAAATACCTGTGAAGTTCACATATTCTTGGCTTCTCAGGTTACTGGTCTGTTTTCGGAGCGTTCAAGATAAAAGCTTGATCCTAACTGTAGTTAAAAGTTTATGTAAATGGCCTTTCCAAACTTGGTGCCCTTCCCATACTTTGGTCTGTAGTCTCAGTCATACCTGGCCATTGGGCTATACAAGCTGGGGATGATGGGAGTTGTATTCCAGAACATCTGGACTACAACAGGTTGACGAAGGCTGGTGTAAACATGTTTGCTACACAGTTTCTTTCCAGAAGTATTCCAAACTGCACACTTTCCCAATTCCGTTCCTCTGAATTCTTAATTAATGGTTAGTCCACTCCTTTCCATTTCAGTGTAAAAGTCTTTGCTTGTCACTATGCTGCTCAGTTCCCATACTTCCATGGCTCTTCACTTTTGTTACATTCTTAACAGATAATTTGAATTTTCATTTGGATGTAGCATTGCTCAGTACTTTAGCACCGGCTGAAGGAAAGAGTGAAAGGCAAAACTCGGTTACTGAAGGAAATGGCAGCGTAGTGAGTTGGTGCAATATCATAAGAATTGACTCTTTTGGGGAAAGTATATCTAGTTCAGTATTCTTTTTCTGAGCAGGTGTACGCAGCACACCCACAGATGTTCACCCAGCCCCTTTCCCCTCCCAACTTTCAGTTTTAGATTACTCTGTTCATGGCAGATGGGCGGGGTATAAATAATAAATTCTTTTATTCTTATCTTGTCTTGGTCATGCCTTGGTCCCTGATTTCTTTGCACTGTCTCTTTAAAGAGGAACAAAGGATAGCACTGAGGAATCTGAGCCTCACTGAGTAAGGTTGTAAGGCTGCAGGACCACTCAGGGACAGGCGAATTCAAAAAATCTGTAGGGATTGATTTGCCTTTCTAAAGATGAAGTGGCTGAAGGTTTTTCCTTTCCTTCCAGAAAAAGAAGGCTTTGCTGCTGCTAGAGGCACCAGCTTGGTTGCCCTCAGCCCCTTTATGATTCTGGATAGAATGGAAACAGCATTGTGCTATGATGTAGCATTATCTGGCAGGGTCTTTTTGGTGGTGGGGCATAATAATTGCTCCTGTTGGTGACCTCAGCTGTTTTGTCGTTAAAGCTAAACTTGCCTGAAATTTCTTAAGATTCCTATCCCCCCGTCCCATGCGCCAAACCAATTTTGAGCAATAATAAGAACAACTGTGAATGACAGTAACATCTGTGGGTGACCACAGCAGAGCAAGAAATAATTGCCTGATAAAGACATTTGCCTTTTCTTTTCAGATGCTGCAAATTTTGTATCCCAGTGTCGCAGGAACATCAGGTTTAAAGAATTCAAAATTACTGCCAAGCTTCTTGAATCAACGCAGATGATCAAAGTTGAAAATATTCCATCAGGAGTACTCAAAGATTATTTAATTCTCTATTTTGAAAGTCCAAAGCATGGAGGAGGACAAGTGTCTAGTATTCAAATGTCGCCTGAGGAGAATTCAGCCATCGTTACTTTTTGTGACCACCAAGGTAGTATATTCTATTTTTGTAGGTGACTGAAAAAACAAAACAAAAATTCGCTAGTGGGATTGCTCAAAAGCAGGAGCTCTTTTAATGGCTTCTTGGAGATTGAGGCGTTGGTGGATTTTAAGGTCATAAAATAATCACAACTGTCATTCACAAGTCAAGGGAAGAACTGTACTGTATTGATAATCCAAATGGCAGGATCAGCAGGGGAAGTAGCACTAGAATGGTGATGAATCATAGGCCTGCAAAGTTTTAAACTTCCAAGCCTTCCAGGGCACCTCCAAACATGTATTATGGCAGGGATGGGGTACCCTTTTTGGCCAAGAGGGCCAGGTCCTTATCAGATCCTATCCTCTTGGGCTAAAGTTGACAAGTGGGTGGGGCTGCTTGCGTGTCCATCACCTCACCTTGCAATGATGTCAGGTGATTGGGCCCTTGAAAGCATGCACAAAGCACTTTGTGTCTGGACTTCAAAGCATCACGCAGGGCTTGCAAAGAACCCTGTAGCTGCTTTGAAGCACCTGGGGCTTTCTTTTCACCTGTGGGTATCTTTCCTGTGGAGAACTCAACTGTGTGGCCCATCCAGCAGTCTTCAGCTCTATTGCACGTCAGCCTGCTCTCCTTTGCCTCTGTACTACTGGAAGCACACTTTAAGGGTCACAGTTGTGCGTTGGCAGCTGCATCTCTTTGCCCCCCCATAGAATAATATACCACTGGAATTGTTCCTCCACTTTGGATTAGGCCTGTGTGCTGAATCTGTTGAGCCAGAGCATTCTGTTTACCACAGCCTCTGACACAGAGAAGTGCTTTCTCTTTCAGTTGTGATCTATTAAGAACAACTCAGTGCTTTCTTTCAGCTTTTGAGCAGAGAACATTGCATAATAATAACAATGATTTATTATTTATACGCCACCCATCTGGCTGGGTTTCCCCAGCCGCTCTAGGCAGCTCCCAACAGAATAAAAATGCGATAAAATACCAAACATTAAAAACTTCCTGATACAGGGCTGCCTTCAGATGTCTTTTAAAAGTAAGATAGCTGCTTATTGCCTTGACATCTGATGGGAGGGCGTTCCACAGGGTGGGCGCCACTACCAAGAAGGCCCTCTGCCTGGTTCTCTGTAACCTCACTTCTCACAGTGAGGGAACTGCCAGAAGGCCCTCAGAGCTGGACTTCAGTGCCTGGGCTGAACGATGGGGGTGGAGACACTCCTTCAGGTATAGTGGGCTGAGGCCGTTTAGGGCTTTAAAGGTCAGCACCAACACTTTGAATTGTGCTTGGAAACGTACTGGGAGGGTACATTGCTTATAAGAGAGTGAGAGTAGTTTCCCCTGTCCCAAGTTGATTTATTTCTCAAAACTTCATCTTTTATCAGTGGCTACATATTTCCAGAACATTTCATGATAATAGTTTCCTGGTTTCTTACTGACTTATACTAGAACTCCAAGGAAAGGTGGTGAGGGGAATCAGTTATTAAGTCCCCTCAACAGCAGCAGTGCTTTCAGCTAACCCAACAAAATGGTTTAATTTCAGCTAATCCAAGAAAAGGATTTAATATGAGCTGAGAATCAGAACCTGCTCAGTCCACTGCTCAGTCACAGAAATATAACCTTTGAGCATGAGTGTTTCTTTCACTACCAAGTTGCTAACAGTCGTGTTTAGGAGAACAAAGGAGAGAGTTTGTGAACAAAAGCAGCAGAAAGGCAATAAAAAGGTTGTGTTCATCTCACAGTTAAGCCAGGAACTGTGGTTTATAGTGCATGAGCCAGTTGTGCTCACTTCGCTTTCCCATGCTTTCACTGTAAGGAAACAAACCATGAACTGTTTCTGTAAGGATTACAAGCCATTGGGTGTACTTTCAAGTCATTTCTGAGGCAGCCATCTTTGAGTGGTCTATGCATTTGAGGGATTTGGCATGGTAGAATATTAAGTGTGTTTTATTTTAATCTTTTCTCCCCCCCCCTTTTTTTAGCTGTTCAGGCAGCATTGGAAAAGCAGCATTTTTTTGACAATCAACCAGTTTCAGTTTATCCATACTACGGTTCTTTAGATATGGTTTTGTATGGAAAGGAGAGGGCTGAAATCAAGATGCCAGACCCCGTCAGAGTCCCCTTAGATCCTTATATCTGGCAGTTTCTACAGGGGAAGGACGGCCTGGTCCAAGAAATAAATCAAGAAATGGCAAAGTGTCACAGTGAGCTAACGTGGCCTCAGGCGACTTGCAAACAGCCAGAAGTTGTGATGCACCCTTCAGCTGCCTTATGTAAACAAGGAAGGTCAATGAGGGAACTGATCAAGACTTGGAAAGATAAAGTTTCTATGGAGTTTACATGCATCATGTCCAAGTTCAAGGCTGTTCAATGTAAAACCATCCCAGCAGCATGGCCTACCATAGAAAACAATTTGATAAAGGATGTTTTGGCAATTTGGGATGTTTCCAAAGAAACAGTTACCCTCGCCGGTTTTGTATTTACTGTGGACGGTGTGAAGAAATCGATAAACGAATACATGGAAAATTTGACCAAAGATGCAGAAAGAGCTAAGCAAACTATACGTGAAACTTTGGCAGTCACCCCAGGGAAGTATGCCGTTCTGCATCAGGTTTTGCTTGAAGAGAATGTCTATAAAGAGAACCCAGACCTAAAGTTCTCTTACGATACATCAGCTGAGATGGTGCAGCTGAGTGGAATGGTTGCGGAAGTCTATAAGATGAAATGTGCATTACAGGAGAAGCTGTATAACATAAAGGAGAAAAAAGTCAACACCCCCCCTGCAATATTCCAATTCCTACAGCATGCAAATAGCAGAAAGGTAACAGTGATCATATTTGGTGCAAATAAAATCAATGCCTCCTATGAACTTCAATATGATTCTGTAGCATTATTCGGATATCTTGATGACAGTCTCTTGAAAGCAGAGGAGCAAATGATGAAAAACCTAGCTCATAAATCTATTACTTTGATGAATCGTGAGCTCGTCAACAAAAGGGAATGGAAAGAACTCACTGAGCGATTGCATAAGAAGCACAATTCTGTTGAGGTAGCTTTCGTAATTGATGTTTGCCTCACTTTGGAAGAAGAGGCCAAAGTAACCATTGCTGGTTATACAAAAACTGTAGTCGATGTTTATCAGGTGCTTTCTGACTTTGTTGAAAAAAACACACAAATTCGAAAAGTAATCCCTGCCAAGGCTGTGGCCGTTGTGCAGTTTATGGAGAAGGAAAAGGGCAACGTTTGGCAGAACCTGAGGAAGAATGGTCTGAAAATCAATTTTGGGCAGCAAGCTCAGGAGAAGAATATTGTCCTGAGTGGGCCTAGAGCAGATGTGATGAAAGCAGCTGCTGTGGTTGAACAAGAGCTGGCTTTACTGCATTTTGTTATCGTGTCGTTTGATAAACCGGGAGTGAAAAATTTCTTCAAAACCCGAGAACTTACCTACATTACTGAAGCAAAGCAAACCTTTCACTGTTTGATCAGGTTGCAGAAAGAAGGAGAAGATAAAGGAAACTTTGATGAAAAACTAGGGCACCCTCACGCTAAAATAATTTTAAAACATGGTGTTGTGGTAGAGGCTTATAAGGGTGACTTGACCCGTTCCTCAGTTGACGTTGTGGTCAATGCATCTAATGAAGACCTGAAGCACATTGGTGGCCTTGCAGATGCCCTCTTAAAAGCGGCCGGCCCACAGCTGCAAAGTGAGTGTGATGACCTAGTCAGAAAGCATGGACGTTTGAAGCCTGGCCGTGCAATTAGAACACATGCTTGGAATCTGCCATGTAAAGAATTGATCCATGCAGTTGGGCCGAGGTGGAACAGTTCAGAAAAAGAGAAATGTACACGACTGTTAAAGGAGGCCGTGAAGCGAAGCTTAAACCTGGCAGAAACATATAACCATCGCTCCATAGCCATCCCTGCCATAAGCTCTGGGATTTTTGGGTTTCCATTAGAAGAGTGTGCCCATACCATTGTAACATCCATTAAGGAACACTTGGAAGAAACCACTGAGAGTGGCTGCCTGAAACAGATCTGCCTTGTGGATATGTCAGATAATACAGTCCAGGCTCTTGCTGATGCTTTGAATGAAATATTCGGAGAGGGGTCACCCAAAACCAAATTACTGCCCAAACCCAAATTACCGCTCAATCAGCCCAAGGAAATGGGAGAGAACGTTCATGTGGTGACTTCTGCTGAAGGTGTGAAACTGATACTTGAGGAAAAAGGCATTGAAGATGCGACGGTAAGCATGTGAAATGACCCACAAAGCATTTTTCCAAATGCATGTTGAACTTCTCTTTTTGTTTTTAAATAGACAATTACAAATTAATTTGAATTGTAAAGCTCTTGTTAAAACAGGCGTGGCCAGCAGAGTGCCCTCCACATACAAGTCCCTGCAGCTCTGACCACTGGACATGTGCCGCTTGAGAGTTCAACAACATTTAAAGGGCACCACACTGGTTACCCCTAGGAGATTTTTAAACTGGGTTGTCCAACATGGCTCCTGGAGGCACACATTCAGAAGCTTTCCATGGTACCCAGAGGATATCCTCTATGTGCTGAAATTAGGCTTGAAAGAAGCATACTGTTTTATTATCCATCCATCCATCCATCCATCCATCCATCCATTTCATTTATACACTGCCTTTCTGCCAAGGCACACAAGGTGCCTTACAATTTTAAAGGGCTAAAACAAGTGATATAACGTTTGAGGTTGGCTGAGGGAGGAGTCACTCTGACTGGAGCAAGGCCTGGAATTGTCTTCACCTGCCTCCCTTTTCCCTCTTCTTCCTCCTCAAAGGGCAGATGGTATATTGTAGCCATTAGAGTAGGTTGTTGTCAGGGTGGATGTAATAATGATAACAGTTCTTCTGTTTTGCAAACATGCCTATTTGCTCCAAAAACCAAAATGTCATCCTTATGTTCCGTGATTTACAAGGCTGTTTTCCTTAAAGAGATGATGACTTGGAATCAGAGATTTGCTTTACTATGTTTGGTTTAGAAAAAAAGCAGCCCATATGACCTGGGGATAGGGAAGAAAAGACTACAAATTTCATTTATTTTATACCAAACCAATACAAAATAAGTGCATGGTGTTTCAGTGATCTCATCCACAAATAAAAAATAGCTTTGCATGATGATGATGATGATTAAAAAGCTGGTGTTTACAAATATGATGGTTTGCTTGTTGCGGATATTCCTGCTCAAATTGGACTACTGAATAATAATTTACAATGGTCATCTGTGACCGATGACAACATAATAATGTCTTGCTGGCTCTTGTCTGTGATCCAAGAGTGGTCAGATGCCCCTGGAAAATTTAAAAGCAAGGCATGACTATCTGTGGCTTGATATATGTAACCCCCTTGCAAGTATTTTTATGAGTGTTATGGTTACAGACCGACGTTGTCGTGAGCAGTATTGGAACTGATCTGAAGCTTGGTGTGGGTCCACTTTCCAAGGCTGTGCTGCAGAAGGCAGGACCAATGCTCCAAGCTGAGTTTGATCAAGCAATCCAAAACCAAGGAGCTCAGGGCAGCTGTGTGATCCAAACAGGCGGATATAACCTGGCCTGTTCCATTGTGCTCCATGCCATCATTCCCCAATGGGATGCCGGAAAAGGACCTGCAATTCAGGTAATTGCTTCATACCCTTGACCACATTAATTGTAGTGGAATGTAAAATACACAAGTCCTATGTTCCCCCACCCCACCCTGGGGACTCACAACAGCCCCAGCTAAGACGATCTCGCAAGTAAACTGGCCCTGAGTTGTTTTGGGGATTTATATACAATCAAACTTTGGTTCCTGAACGGCTTAGTTGCCGAACATACTGACTCCCGAACACCGCAAACCCAGAAGTAAGTGTTCCAGTTTGCAAACATTTTTTGGAACACCCGACGTGGCTTCTGCTTGAGTGCAGGAAGCTCCTGCAGCCAATCAGAAGCTGCTCCTTAGTTTTCAAATTTCAAAAAGTTGCCGAACATACTGACTCCCGAACACCGCAAACCCAGAAGTAAGTGTTCCAGTTTGCAAACATTTTTTGGAACACCCGACGCGGCTTCTGCTTGAGTGCAGGAAGCTCCTGCAGCCAATCAGAAGCTGCTCCTTAGTTTTCAAATTTCAAAAAGTTGCCGAACATACTGACTCCCGAACACCGCAAACCCAGAAGTAAGTGTTCCAGTTTGCAAACATTTTTTTGGAACATCCGACGCGGCTTCTGCTTGAGTGCAGGAAGCTCCTGCAGCCAATCAGAAGCTGCTCCTTAGTTTTCAAATGATTTGGGAGTCGAACAGACTCCCAGAACGGATTAAGTTCAAGAACCAAGGTACCACTGTACTAATAGCAACACCTTGAACTTGGCCCTAGCAAATGGGCAACCTGCAGATCTCTTGAGCACAGGTGCTGTATGCTGGCAAGGCCTTAGTCCTGTCAGCAATCGTGTACAGCAATCCTGTCAGCAGTAGTACAGCAATCTGCGCTAACTGCAGCTTCCAGGTGAATTGCAAGGGAAGCCCCACATAATAGAGCACATTGCAGTAATCCAGTCTTGAAGCATCTGGTGCATGGACTACTGTGGCCAAGCAGATGCATTAATTAGAGTTGGTGAAAGGCACTTTTAGCCACAGAAGCTACCTGAGCCTTTGGTGACAGAGATGCATCCAGAAGCACCCCAAAACTGCGAGCCTGGTAGTGTGGGCCATGCTGAGCTAGGCAGACCAGTGGTCTAAATATATGGCAGTTTCCCATGAACCTTTCCAATGTTGCTTGAAGCACCTTTTCCACAGCCCACCTCTGGCTACTAGAACTGAAGTGCTTGAAGCAATGGAGTATTATGAGTTAAGGTTGGGGTACCTAGCTTGGCACTGGGTTTGAACATGCCCTTAATGGTATATTGATAATGCACACAAGGAGGAGGCAGATATTCTGGCTTGAATGGCTAAAAATCATATCTGAAGATACCTGGGTGTATATTTTACAGAAGCTTAAGGATATTGTGAGAGAATGCCTGGAGACCACTGAACAGCTGTCGTTGAGCTCCATCTCCTTCCCAGCGCTTGGAACAGGAGGTTTTCACTTTCCAAAATCTGAAGTTGCTAAATTAATTTTTGAGGAGGTGCTTCAATTCAGTAGCAGGAAGAATTTGAAGTCCCTTCAGGAAGTTCACTTTCTCTTGCATCCAAATGATAAAGACAACAAACAGGTAATGTGATTGCTTTCCTGTCTTAAATTGTTCCAAATGTTGGTTTGCAAATACTATACTTGATAATATTAAGTCATTTTTTGTCTCCAGTTCTAGAACTGTGTTCTGTTCCTACATGGGGGGGGGGTCGGGTCTCAGAAACCTTGTGGGTAACGCTTTCGTTTTCTTTCCAGGTCTTCTCACAAGTGTTCTCTCAAGCTTCTGGAATTTCCATGGGTGTTCCCCCGAGTGATGGAGACAGTACAGGCAAGTTGACTTGTTCAGTTGCAGCTGAATTCTGATCTCTCTGGCCCTCTTTGATGATGAATAAACAGCTACATGTGAAAATGAATTTGGACTGTGGCTCTGGGGGAGGGATTTTAACCCCATTTCCCTTTCCCCTTTTGAAATTGCCTACCTCGCTGTGGGTTAAACCACAGAGCCTAGGACTTGCCGATCAGAAGGTCGGCGGTTCGAATCCCCACAACGGGGTGAGCTCCCGTTGCTCGGTCCCTGCTCCTGCCAACCAGTTCGAAAGCACATCAAAGTGCAAGTAGATAAATAGGTACCACTCCAGCAGGAAGGTAAATGGCATTTTCGTGCGCTGCTCTGGTTCGCCAAAAGCGGCTTAGTCATGCTGGCCACACGACCCAGAAGCTGTACGCCGGCTCCCTCGGCCAATAAAGCGAGATGAGCACCGCAACCCCAGAAACGGCCATGACTGGACCTAATGGTCAGGGGTCCCTTTACATTTACCTTTACCTCTTAGGGAGCTAAGAGGAGCTTCAGTCAGGGAAACAGGAAAGAATTGTTGGCTCCTGCTTCCCCAGTCCAAATTGCCTCTGCTGCTACAAGTACTACCTCAGTTCTTGAACAAAATCTGTTCTGGAAGCCTGTTTGGCTTCCGAATTGTTCAAAAACCGAGGCATGGCTTCCCATTGGTTGCAAGAGCTTCTTGCACTCAGCGGAAGCCGCGTTGCACATTCGGTTTCCAAAAAATGTTCAAAAACGGAAGCATTTATTTCTGGGTTTTCGGCGTTTGAGAACCAAAACGTGTGACAACGGAGGTGTTTGGGAACCGATGTTCCACTGTATTAACATTTTTAAAAATTGTGTTAGTTCCTGGTTACTGATCTTTGTGCTGCTTCAACCTTCATCTTTTGTAGCAAAATGAGCAGTTTTCTGCATTGGTTAAATTCTCCTGCTTCTTTGTTCCCTCCCAGGTTTCTTTGGGCCTGTTTCGACCCCTAGTTTGGGAATTCATGAAATGCAGATTGGATCAGTTCTATTTCAGATAGTAACAGGAGACATCACAAAGGAAAATACAGATGTAATTGTAAACTTAACAAATGCAACATTTGATTCCAAAACAGGTACTGAATTTCAGTTAATTTATCTATTGTCCTGAATTTATGTTGATGATGATTTAACTGGGAAATAGGAAAAGGCATTTTAATATGCAAACACGTTGCTGGATACGTGTGTGTATGTTTGTGGCATCCACTCAGATAGCTGCAAAATGGTATCAGAAGATGGATTTTATCTAGCGTCACTATACTACACTGGTTCAAACTATAGTATACCTATAATGCAATGTCTAATGTGATTTCTGTTTGACAAGTTTGACATGTAAGCTATAGAGATGTAATTTTAAGCATTTGTTGGTGTTACTTGCAAAAGTGAGCTGAGTTTTGAATAGCTTTTATTACCTACAGTAATAAACTGTCTCCCTCTGATTTTTGAAGGTGTCTCCAAAGCAATTTTGGAAGGTGGCGGACCTCAAGTTGTAGCAGAGTGTGCGCTACATGGTATGACACAACAAACGGTCCGATTCAGTTAGATAATATTTAAAGTTCTATCATAGAGAGGAACTGCTCATGTCTCATTGTAGATTTTATTGTTTCCTAATCAGCTATTATAGGGAGTGGGGTTATTGGGGCTAGATGAATCGTTATGCTGTATAATATGCAGTTGTAATCTGTAGTTTCTCGGTGCTGGGAAGATTCTAGTTATCACAAGATGTGCATTGGCACATTCCCAACTAGAAGGATGTTGCATGCTAGCACGAGAAGCAGAATACTGTTGCCTACTGCATAATACTTAAAAAGTATAATGGGGAGGGATGCAGTGTGTATGATAGTACCCACACTTGTGTTGGCCTGCCTTTTTGGGGGGCATCTGCTGACAGAGTAGAAAGTGTACCTTATGCATCAGGGATAACCATTCTCAATTCCCTAAATATGATCTGGATGGGGCATCCCATGTCCTTTTTACACAGAGCTCTGGATATTATACACTTGTTTCTCTTCTCTTCCTTCTCTCCTCTTTCAAAAACATAAACCAGTGTGCAATAGCATGCAGCTGAAAAAAACCATCTAGGAGGGAAGTAATCTTGATACACAATAGGGTGATTTATTACCAAATCTTTGTGCTGTAGGGCATAGCTTTTAATGAAAAGTAAGTTTTATCTATGCATGCAATGCTCTTGCATCTCAGTTTTCTGCTATTTTGTGGCAGGCCATGGATAGCCATTTTCAAAAGTCTGGTGACTTAGGCAGTTTTCAGCAGATTTGCCAGGGATCTCTTGGCATACTCTTCTTTTGGCTAGAAAACCTGAAGTCAATCAAATGCTAAGAGATGTCTGTAATAACACAGGGCCCACCATACGTTTTGATCGACCTTGGTAGCCAATGTTATTTGCGGTCATTGCCTTTCCCTTCCTCAAGTTCTCTTAACATGCACAAAGGATTGGGTGGGGATGGGAAGCAACCTCTCAGTTTCTGTGTGGCTTTAGAGACACTTGGAAGCAGCTTCTAAGTGACTCCCAAACCCAGTGGTACATAAATTCCAGCTGACTTTGTGGCAGGTGGGTGGGGTGGCCGGGCTCTATCTCACACTTTGTGTTTTGCTGTGGACTGCTTCTGATCTCTCTTTGGCAGCTTCTGACCTTTCCTAACTCCTGGCACTGAATGTGAGTTAGCCTGGTACAAAATGAAATGTATGTCCTCTGTGCACATAGCCAGAAAATGTATTGGAGGTATCTACCCAGCATGCGAAGGGACCCCCCAAAATATGGGCAATGTGCAGAGAAAACGCGCTTTGCTTGAGACAATGAAGGGCAGACAGTTGCCAGAGAGAGATTCCTAGTTGGTGCTGGCCACCTGCAAACCATCTCTTTCGACCTGCTAATATTTGTAATCTATGCCAAAGGCATTTCATTCTGCAATATGTCATTCATTGACAATGAACAACGACTAGGAGTTTAGACTTGTGTTGATTAAGTATGAATATACAGCTTGTCACCTTTTTTTTTTTTTTAGGCTCACAGTCTCACAATGGATTTATAACCACGCAAGCTGGCAATCTGGTCTGTAAGAAAATAATCCACCTTGCGCCCAATTCTGATATCAAAAATCAGATCACCATAGTGCTCAGTGAATGTGAAGCAAAGAAGTATACATCTGTTGCCTTCCCTGCAATTGGAACAGGTTTGCAAATAAGGTTTCATTTAAGGAGCGAAGGGCAGAATTCTAGTGGAAAGTTTCACCTATTAATAGGTCACTGTTGTTAAGGCATTTGAGTTCCTGGAATAGATTTCAAAGGCAATGCTAGTGAGCTGGCTGCCCATACGCTGCCAGGCCAGGTTCAAGGTTCTTGCATTAATTCACAAAACTTTAACCAACTTGGATGCAGGATACCTTAAGGATCACCTGCACAGTTCATATCCACCAAGAGCCACATGTTCAAAATTGCTCGATCATGCAGGCAATGCTGGGATCTTGAAATATCAACAGAGCAGTTCAGAATAGCAAAATAACAAATAACTGATGACAACAAAGGCCCACATTTAAAGCAGCATAATTAATGGAAAAACACCGCCTTGTGTGGGTAGGACTACAGGTGGCAACATCATTCCTTTTCCTTCCATTCTGTTTGGCACCATTGCTTTTCTGCTGTGCTTTCCCACCTCCTCTTTCCAGAAATGACAGAGGGTTGCTGCAGCCAAAGGGCTCGCACACTTGCATTCTGGTTACCATACTTTTCCATGTACAAGACTAGGTTTATTTCCTTAAAAATCATTGTAAAAAGTGAGGGTCGTCTTATACCTTGGTAGTGCATAGGGTGGACGCTTGATTTGTTGCTGCCGCAGCTGTCAACACCTATTATGCGTGTTATTGGTTGCTGCATTAATGGGTAGTGGTGAAATTTCCTGAAATTTCTGTCCCCCAAAATAGGGAGCATCTTATACATGGGGGCATCTTATACACGGAAAAGTACAGTAATTTGGAAGAATGTTTTCTGTGGGGAAAGCAGGGAGACAAGTGGTCTAACCTGTCTGCTGGCCATATGGAACTTGTGATGGGCATTTATTTCGCTTCATTAAGGTGCTCTTTTTTAACATCAGAAAGGGGGGAAGGAAGGAGCTATGGGGTTCACTCCTTTGCTCGGCTGATTATTGCTTGTCAGCCATGTTGAACTGGTGGAAGGAAATAGGATCTTCTATATTTTAAAATGAAAGTGCACCTGTTTGTGTTTTCTTTTGTGAGATGAGCAGCCCCTCTCTATTTTGTGCATAATGCATTTATTCTTCTCTGTTGTGTTGGATACAGGCCAGGCAGGGAAGAACCCAGCAGACGCAGCTGATGACATGATTGGTGCAGTTGCTGACTTTGTGGGCAAAGTACCACTGCAGTATTTGCAAATGATCAAAATAGTTATTTTCCAGCCGCATATGCAGAATGCTTTTTATGCCTCTATGAAAAAGAAAGAAGGTGCTGCATTACCCACCTCTAAATCTGTGTTTTCTAAAATTAAAGGTAAGTGCAGAGGGTTATATCCTTCATATTCCTGGCACGATGTCTTGTAATATTTGTTTGGCATATTTAACAGAACGTCTCTTTCTCTGCAGATTTTATCTCTCGTAAGAAAAAAACCCATGGAAAGAAACGTCAGTTGGTTGTGGAAACCAAGGTGGAGGTTGCCGTGTTTGAAGTCTGTGGTGAAAGCAAAGAAAATGTTCAGGAGGCCGAGTCCTGGTTAAAGAAAATGATTCTTCGGGAACAGACAGAAAAGATTATCTCTGATGAATCAATAGATTTGTTTGGTGATGAAGAAATTAAGGAACTGAACAACCTACAGAAAAGACTGCATATTGCCATTCAGCTGGAAAGAAAGCAATCTCCACCTTTCATTCTCGTATCGGGCATTCCTCGTGATGTCCTGGAAGCCTACTCACAAATTGATGACCTGGTCAAGAAAATTAAACGTGACCGGGAAGAGCAATCGAAGGCAGAACTTGCTCATAATTTGGTCGAGTGGCAATATTGCACAAAAGGGAATGATTTTGCACCTTTTGACAAGTTAAGCAATCTTCATTTGGAAGATGCTAGAATGAGTAAGAAAAACACTAATGTCCAAATTCTCGGAAGGAGCTACACAGCAGACACCAGAAAAATGTGTGCTGTGGATGGCCAAGGAAAAACTGTAAACATTAAGCGCATTGTAAAGGAGGAAGGTAATGAGGGGCTTAACTAATCAAGGCCTAGGTTAGTGCCTGTATTCCTTTTGGGTGTGTTGGATTCCCATTAGTGCAGGGTTGGAGAACATTTTCACCTCAAAGATTGTTTTCCCTTCTGGGGGCCACATGCTGGTTTGGCATCACCAAAAGCAAGAGTGGGCAAAGCAACAAATGTATGTAACTTTTACCTCTGTCCAGTGGGCTAGTTCTACACTCACTCACCTATTCCTCCCTATCCTCTCTCCAGAGAATCAAGAGGCGTTATCAGAGCTTAAGGACCGCTTTCTATCCTAGCAAAAGAATTTGGAATGGGAAGCGGGGTCAGTGAGAGGGGAGGGTTCTGAGGGCATGGAGTGTGGCATTTGGTCACTGTGCTTGAGGTTCCCTACTGCTCGGTGGGTGAATGTGACCTTGCTAAAATATCTCCCTCAGGAAGTAACAGCAAGAATCAGCTTGCTCCTGAGTGCTGGAAGGGATGTGGTGGCAGTTGATGGCATGAAACAGTAGACTCCTTCATAGCTCAAATTCCCAAACTCCAGAGCTTAAAACAAACCTCTATACTTACACACATCTTTAATTTGTAATTGTCACCAGTGTATTGCAGCTGTACCCATAAAGTCTTCCCTTGGCACCTCCAAGGCCTCTTAAGCCCTCATTCTCACTGTTCCCTTGGACATACAGTGGTGAGGGCATTTACTTTTTTTCTCCTTTGAAAAGTCCATAGAGCAGAAGGAGGAAGTTGCAAGAGTGCCACTCTTTTCTGTTTCCTCTTTCAACTGTTTGTATTTTCTAAGCCTCACATTAATTTTACTGGGTCCAACTTTTACTTAGATTACTTGGAAAAAAGTTTGTGTGTTCATGTTTTCACTCTTTTTGCCTCTCAGGGTGGGGGTGAAGGGTGCTGACCCAAGGAAAGGGGAGGGGAGGGACCAGAGCGGATGGCTCATTCAGCACACAAAAATGCAAATGTGCTCACCCTTTGCAGGCGGACCGTCAGTACCTGTCCCTACACAATGGGAAGATATGAAGGGACATCGTGTCAAGATGGTTTTGCTGCAACCTGCAACAGCAGAATACAAAGAAGTTGAAAAGAAATTCCGGAGTAGCTGCCCTGCAAACAAAATAGAAAAGGTGAAGTATGGTAGAGGCATCAAGCTTGGGGAGCATGTTCCCCTTACAAGCATGCATCATTGAGTTGTATTGAAATGCTGTGCAACGTTGTCAGACCCTCATGTAATATCCAGACACATAATATGTCCATGCAACTGAAGAGTGTGCATGCGTAAAAGCTGTCATAGTTAGGATATCCCCTTTCCTCCAGCTACAATTCCTATTTACATTCAGTTATATGGAATAACTGTCCATATGCCCTCCAAATTGTCTCTGAAGCTGGGAATAGGAGCATTATTTCCGTTCACTTAAAATCAAGCTACTGAGCTTAGTGATGGGTTCAGCTTGCAAACCAGGCTTCTCAGCCTTGCATTTGCTGAATAATGGGACCCCACAGGACTCTTTCAGGGAGAAGCAGCAGGTGCGTTTCTTAAGCATTCCCCACCTACTGATTTTCCTCTGTAACACTTGGATGATGACAGGCCTGCTTGGTGAAGAAGATTGGTAGTGGGGAGTGGTGGTAGGGAGCGAGTGGCGCTGTAGGCTAAACCACTGATCATCTTGGGCTTGCTGATCAGAAGGTCAGCGGTTCAAATCCGTGTGATGGGGTGAGCTCCCGTTGCTCAGTCCCAGCTTCTGCCAACATAGCAGTTTGAAAGCACACCAATGCAAGTAGATAAATAGGTACCGTTGTGGCGGGAAGGTAAATGGCATTTCCGTGCACTCTGACTTCCATCACGGTGTCCTGTTGTGCCAGAAGCGGCTTAGTCATGCTGGCCACATGACCCGTAAAACTATCTGTGGACAAACGCCAGCTCCTTTGGCTTGAAGCGAGATGAGTGCCACAATCCCATAGTCGCCTTTGACTGCACTTAACCGTCCAGGGGTCTTTTACTTTCTTGTTCCCTTCTGATTCCCTGTAAATGCCACCCCTTTATGTTAATCAAGCATGGGGTTTGGAATACAGTGGTACCTCGGGTTACATACGCTTCAGGTAACATACGTTTCAGGTTACAGACTCCACTAACCCAGAAATAGTACCTCGGGTTTAGAACTTGGCTTCAGGATGAGAACAGAAATCGTGCTCCTGCGGCGCGACGGCAGCAGGAGGCCCCATTAGCTAAAGTGGTGCTTCAGGTTAAGAACAGTTTCCGGTTAAAAATGGACCTCTGGAACTAATTAAGTACTTAACCCGAGGTACCACTGTATGTGCATGTTGACATAGTGTGTAGTTGTGCCCTTTTAATGTTCCAATGAGACCTATTATCTGTTTTTGCAACCAGATACTTTCTTTGCTTTTTCTTAATCTCTCTCAATGTTGTATTTTCCTTGCAACTTTTGTAGATTGAGAGGGTTCAGAATCCTTACCTCTGGAAATCCTACCAACTCAAAAAGCAGGATATGGATAAGAAGAACAGCCATAACAAAAATGAACAGATTCTGTTCCATGGGACTCCTGCTTCCACGGTGACCCCCATTAACCACACTGGATTTAATCGCAGTTATGCTGGAAAGAATGGTAAGTCAATCTGAAATTAGGTAATTTTATAAAGGAATGTGATAGCGAGTGTGATTTGCAAACCGCTCTAAAAAGCAGATAAAGAAATACCTACGATTCAGTAGTGAATGACCCCTTCTATATCAGAGTGGGGAACCTGTGTATTGCCCCCATCAAGTTGTTGGATTCCTGTTCCCATTAGACTCAGCCAATATAGCCAGTTCAGTAATAATGGGAGTTGTAGTCCAACAACATCTGGACAGCCACAGGTTTCCAGGTTTGAAAAACCTTGCTTTCTTATAGCCAAATACCTTTTAATGTCTTTTCAGAAATTAGTCTTGCTATTTTGAATAAGACTTTTATACCATTGTAAGTGCAAACAGGATACTTAGACTATATACAACATATTATTTCTGAGAGGCAATGATGGGGTGGGAATTCCCATTGCTGCTACAGTGGTGCAGGGCCTGATTCTGGGTCATTAGCTCAGTAACGATACAGGGAAGCAAAAGAGGTGGAGAGACTTCAGCTGGAACACCTTTGAGAGATTCAGTGGAGAATTCTGCCTTAAAATAAAAACAAAAGGAGATGTTAGCTGAAGTATTGGAAAGGAACACATTGTATAAAGAAACAAAACATGTGCCCATGTGGGAACTGTGGGTAACATGTATTCCATCTTCGTTCCCAGATGGAGGAAAAGTGAGATATAAATGTAAGAAACTAAGTAAATCCCTCTTCCAGTTGATGTGTTTTTATACAAGACATTTTTCTATTTAAGGAGAAAAATGGTTAATGTACCTAATTTTTTGCCTTCAAAAGCAGGAACTTGTAATAATAGTAATAATAGACAAAAGTAATGATATAATAAAATAAAAGTAATAACAGTAATAGTAATAATAATAATATAACATATTCATATCCCACCTTTCTCCCAAGTTGTGATTCAAGGTGACTTAACAATATTTAAAAACATCATTATAAAATAGAATTAAACTAGTTAAAAGACAATAGTGAAAATACATCAGAACACATATAAAACCAGAAATTAAAACACAGAATGCCCTCAGAGCACAGACCAGTGATCAGCATCATCAGCACCTTAGTTTTCAAAGGCTGTCTGAATAGGAAGGTGTTAGAGTATGTGTGTTTTCATTCATTTAATAGAGTTATCTGCTTGTCTAGTGTATCAGATAGATTTGCAGATTAAATATGGTTGTAATGCTTTGCATTAGTTTTCTAAGACGTTAATATTTTCTGAGATGTTTCTTTTTTTGGCCTCAGCTGCAGCGATTGGAAACGGGACCTATTTTGCTGTCCATGCAAGCTATTCTGCAGGTGATACATATTCCACACCAGACGCCAATGGTAGCAAATATATGTATCTTGCTCGGGTTCTTACTGGGGATTATTGCACCGGAAAACACGGACTGATTACTCCACCACCAAAAAGCATTGGAGGCGTTGAAATTTACGACAGCGTGACTGATAACACGGATAAACCATCCATGTTTGTCATATTTTATGATTCTCAGGCTTACCCAGAATATCTTATTACCTTCAGAAGATAAGTTGCTTTTGCAGCCAAACACCCATTGTGCTGCCCCCCCAATAATCTGAAAATGCTTTTTAGAAATTACTAGTTTTTGAAATTTCCGACTAATTGGTTTAGCTATGCCTTCCAAAGACTCAAATAATTTTGACTGATATCTAGTAAAGCTTGTGACACGCGTTTTGAAAGTGTGCTTGAAGTCAGGCAGGGTTTGTACAACTTGGTAACTTTAGTGTAGGTAGAACTGACTTGAACAGAAAATGCTGAAATTAAAATAGGGTGGGTAATATATTAGAACCATGTGTGCTGTCATCTCATAAAGGCAATGGGTAAAATATATGAAGGGTGGTCTCCGATGTCTGCCTTTCCCTATACATTCTTCAATGTTCTACTCAGTTTGGGTGGAACTGCGCATTGCACATGGATACAAGCCCTATTGACTGCCGCTTCCAGGGATAGCAGTTGCAGCAGGGCAGAGAATCTCATCTTTGCTCAGTGCCCTTTACAATGGCATCTTCTGTCCAGTCCCTTTCCCTGCTGCTCTCTATAGAGTTGAAGATGTGTTTGCTCTAAAAGAAATATGGTTGAGAAATACCTTTTGTTAGTGGGCTAAAAGAAATATGGTTGAGAAATACCTTTTGTTAGTGGGCTAGTGCAGTAGCAGCAGAAGTTACAAAGCAGCCAAGTGGAGCTTTGTAATGTAGGTACATCCTTACTATCTTTGCTAGTTCTTAGGAAATTTTGAGTGTCACCACTGTGCCTCCCATCCACTTTTTCAGATTGTTGTGCCTATTTGCAGTGACTTGTCTATGCTGTTCAGATCAGCAGCCTGCACTACCTATGCAGAGTGGCAAATCATTTTTCTCAGGTACTTAACAGGCAAGAATGTGCCTATTTCTGGAGACATTTTTAGCAACGAGCTTTTTCTTAAAACGAAAAGGCCCGTATGTATTCACTGCAAGAGTTTCCTCTGAAAGCTCCTTATCCCCTCTCTTGCTGGTTAGCAGGGAATTAAATGAAAAAAGAGAGGTCCTTTGATATATCAGGGACAGACTGTTGAGTAATGTTGCCAACTGACCAGAAAAAATACCCAGCCTGGGGTTACTTCTGTGTCTTTGGCAGCAATTTGATACTGAGAAATCATCAGGTGAGGCGCTTCACATATTATCTGCACATCAAACAAAGGCCTAATCTTAAGAGAATGGGACATTTTTAAAAGGCAATGGATGATTCTCACATCTGAGGCTTTAGAAAACAGTTCAGCCTCCTGTGAGAAAGCATAAGAGTGCGAACAAGGAAGAGAGTACATTTCTAGTAATGTGTACGTCCAAGTGCCAATATGCATATTATGCAGACTACATGAGAAGCAACCATCTCTGCTTGTAGATACCTGAACTCTCATGTCAATAGGCAAATAAAGCTGAATCAGGGCATTGCTATCAAGAAGAGGAAAGAAAACACTTCTCAAGTTGTGGCTTTTTAGCAGCTTCCAGAGGTGGCTCTAAGAAGTTTTGATTCTATCTGTTTGGGTATGCATAGAGTATGGTGTCCTTTCACACTACAGGTGTGGCTTTTGTTCTTAGCAATATTGTTTTATATGGTGTACACATGAACTATAATGGAGTTGTCAGACTGAACTGCCAATTCACATCCCTGTTTACAGTTCTCTCTGCATCTATATGGGCATACATACTGCCACCTTAGTCAATGCTTCACACCTTTTGCCATAATAAACTTGCTGGACTTTAAAGTATCGCACAAACATTTGCTGCTGCTTCTTAGCAGCCAATATCCCTTGCTATTATTTTCAGCTGCTAGGACAAAATTAGTCAAGTGCTTAGCTAACTCAAGGCAGATCACTGAGGGGCAGACAGCACTAGGCCTAGGTAGATGCTTTAAAGGTGTTCAGAGCAGTCCTTAAATATATCTCTTTATATTCTGCTCAATAGCTGCCACTTGCAAAATTGTTAGCTTTCTTCTGCTGCCAGGTTATACCATTGTTTCATTAACTAATTTTGGTTTTGTCATATTTCAAATGCCTGTATTATCATGTGATTTCTGCTATTGCAACTCTCCTTAAAATTAGTTCTAATCTTGCCTCGCATGTAAATTTATTAAAGGTTATAAAAATGCTCAACTTGTCAAATATTTGAACTTGTCATAGGAATGTTGTTTGTTTCAATCACAAACCATTTCAGAGTGGGTGTTTGTCTTATTGCTGCTCCTCGTTGAAGCTGGAAACACCACAAACCACAACTCTGTGCATCATCACAGGGACCTAACATCAGTATTTTCCTCCACACAGTCCACTGCCAGTCATTGGCAAGACTGCAGCACATCACTCATTTTTTTTGGCCTAACTGCAAACCATATCAAGAGAAGTGGAGTCCATAATCTTATAATAAAAATGCTGATATCTGCTCTTGTATTATTCACTGTAAGTTTGTCGATTTTCCCCACATCACACTTTTTTTTAAAAAAGTGAACTAGCACTCTTGGATTTGCCCTATGCATCCTGTTAAATGTTTTCGCCTCTATCACTTAAAGCAAAGGTTACTTCATGATCCTGGCTCCAAGCCTCCCCATTTATTGTAGAGGTAAGGAAGTTCAGTATGGCTTTTAGAGGAAGAACAGCCTGAATGCAGCCCCAGTTCAAAACAAAAACTTCCAGAATGGCATGAAATCTTTCATTCCATTTCTTCTTTTTTTAAAAAATCATTTCATAAAACATTGCACCATTCCTCTTAAGAATCAAAGATTCTAAGTCATAATCGGTAGCATGTCCCCCAAATAAGCAATAGGAATTAGGACCATTTTCTATCTTTCTTTTACTGTTGTGTGGTTCTATTTTTCTGGTATGTTAGATCAAGGTACTTTTACTCAACTAGTATTCCTCTTTTCTTGCTTAAGCAGTTCTTTCAATCACTACTGAAATGTTTGAAGTTAATGTACATTTTCTTGTCTTTAGCATGTTTATTTACATTGCAAATCTGTGGCCCCTGGAAGAATATCACATGTGCCTGCTGGCCCAAAGGTTGAATTTTGGGTGTACCAGGGGCTGAGTCACAAAATGGCTCCCTCCCATTGTGGGAGGGAAACCATCATCACCACACGACAAGACTGAAGCCCTCCCTTTATGGTCTTGTTTGCTAATTAACATATTAAAATGCAGTGTACCCATATAAGTAAGAATTGTACGCTGTTACTCTTCAGCATTTTCACTTTTAAAATTAGTTACTCCACCCTCCTTTAAAAACAGCAAAGCCATGTTAGCAGGCAGGAAAATCTCACCTACTCCCCAAAACTGGTCAAGGAAAGATCTTTAAAACAAATGAACAAAAAAAACACACCACAGACACTATTTAATTAGCATATAGACTTTTATTTCCTTTTAAGTCACATTTCACAATTTGATGATGAATATACTTTAACCTTGCCAGTTTAGTGGCAGCAGCAAGCTAATAGAATCTGTTGCCTCATGTCACGTTACATTGTGCTATGTGCCATAGAGTGAAGCAAAAAATACACACAAAATGTACTGCGATGCCTTCAGGCTGGTGTTAAATGGAAAGAAAGAAAGAAAATATTGCCCAGCCATTTGATTTTCAAGAGGGGGAGACCGATCAAGGACATAGTTTTAATAGCCACTTTGGTTCCAGATTTTGTTCTTTTCTTGTGGGACAACGATGCTCCAAAGATTCAAAATAGGACACAAACTGCAACCTTAAAAAAAAGTAGTAAACGTGGGTTGAACACTATACTTCAGTCTGCAGATGGCATTTATCTTAAGTTTTACTCTGAGCAGACTCACTGAAATCAGCTAACATAACTAATTTAGGCCCATTAAGAAAATTTAGTATGGCCCTGAACTCAAAATGCTGAACCATTTTTATTGGTTTGCTTTTACTTAAGAATCTTCACAATGCGGAGAAAAAAGGCAAAACATAGCCCAGTTCTGCAGAGGTGAGAAAAACTAAACTTCGTTCCGACCAGTTATGCTGCAAGTGGTAGCAGTAGTAGTAAGCACACAAGAGGAAAAAGTGTTTAACGGCCTAATCACGCACGCTTCTACTTAAAACCGAGACCAAGTGACTTCAGCCGAACTTTGAAAATCAAGGTCCGCTGCAATCAATGGGGCTGGACTCCATGAAATGTGGTTCAGTCTTATAGCAGCAGTGTGACACTTGTAGCCCTTGATACGTTAAACTCCAACTCCCTCCAACATGGCAAACTATCATGGTTGATGGAAGCTGTACATCTCATGGGCCACAGGTTCCCTATCCCTGGAACGACAGCTTTACTTAACAGCACTGCAATAGTTTTTTAGCAAGTTATTCAACAAGTTATGCAATTCAGAATTTTGTAGTGGATAAGCAGAAAAAAGCACCCATAAGCTAAATCCAATTGGCACATCTTTGGACTGGTACAGATTCTGGACAGTCGACTGAAAGAGCGCTCATTCAATTCCTTTCGCCTTCAGTTCTTCTCGAACACGTTTCAGGTAATCTGGATCGGGGTAGCCAAAACTAGGAGAGAAAGAGTTTTGTTTGTAAACAAAGCAATTACCCAATGAAAAGAGGTTGTTGTCTAATATAGCTATCAAAATACTGTGTTCTCAAATATTGGAGAAACAGTGTGCTGACACCACGGTGGCCCAAGGAAAAGAACTCTGCAGGAATCTGTAGTTATTTTGAGGTGAGGATTTGAATGTAACATTTGCACCTTGGTTTTTATGAATACTTAAAGAACATGTACACAACATGCGCCTCATAGGGGATGTGTTAAGCTGGGGTGAATGGCAGCTTGCTGCTGCAGCAGCTTTTCACTCTCTTGATGGCCTTGAGTGCAGGAGGCCTATAGGGAGTCGACTCCTAGCCAAGTGGTAGGAAGTTGAAGTAGACTGGGCCCAGGGCTAGACACAGGACTGGATTATTGTGATTATTCAAAATACTCAAATGCTATGTACATTATATATACTATTGCAGTTTGAGAACGTGGCATGCCTCCTGAGCATGCGATTAACAGACAAAACCTGACTTTGCTGTTTGGATCATGCAAAACAAATAGCTGCGGCTAAGATTGTGAAATGTGAAAAAAATGTCTGATCACTGTCCAAAACACTTCTTCCAAAATGGTTCCTACACTTGAGTGAATCTGCATCCAACAAAATCAAAGCTAGAACGAGATTACATTGAGAAATGCATCACTGGCACTCAAAACAAACAAATACAACACACCTGCTTGCTCCTCCATAACAGTTAGTTTTGTGGTGAATGTCATTCCAGGTAACAACATTTGTTACACCGGTTGTACGTGACTGCCCAACTGTGAAAATCAACTTTTGATCAAAGGCCCGCTGAAGCAATTTCAAAATTTCTCTTCCTTCTGGGTTATCGGGTAAATATGCTGTCCGATTTGCACCGCTGAATGGTCTTCCAGGGTTTGGGTGGTCTTTCTGCAATGCAAAGGTATTAAGATAGGTAAAGGGTTATACTTGCATGAAGCTCAGCAACTGTCAAGGAAGCACTTCTGCTGGATCCCAAGTGTTTATCTAATCCAGCATCTTGTTTCCAACCTGAAAACGCTCAACCTGAAGCATATTTAACCCAAGGTATGACTGTATTATTATTTTATATTATAGCCAGAATGGCTGGGCTGAATGGAACTGCTGGAAGTTGCAGTCCAAACCATCAGGAGGGCAACAGGCTTAGCCCTATAGTTGAGTGAGACAAACCATTCAAGTTCTGTGGAAAGAGAACAAATGTTCCTGATGCAAGAAAGGATGTATGTGGAATAATGGCAGATTCTGCAATTGGGGTAATTTAAGCTCCATCCTGTTTATGGCTCTGCTGCTCTCGCCTTCTGGAACTCCCAAACCCCGTCCCAACAGTATGTCACTAGTACAAGTTTTGCCTTTGCATGCAGCGATATAAAGTTTTCTTAAAAGGATATTATGAGCAGATATAAGGTGGGGCTGCTCATACTCTCTCATGCCATTCCAATCCCTCTTCAGCCCCCAAAGTGTTCCTTGCGACTTACCGTTTGAATGCCATCAGGTATGTAATATGAAATTTGGATGGTACCATATCCAGCATAACCAGGAAGTGACGCTCGAGATTTCTGGATGTTCATTGTCCCTGGTGGTTGGTTTCCTTCCACCTTCCCATAGGCCACATTACACACAGGGCAAACGGGCTTGTATTTCAAGGCCTGCTCAATGCACTCAGCACAAAACTCATGCTTGCATTTGGGCAGCACTTTCTTCTGGTGGATTTTGTCCATGCAAATGGTGCACACATCCTCTTGTTTGACTTCCATTTCCTTTGACTCCTTTTGCTCCCTGGGAGGAGGGGAGTGCATTTTGGGGCCCCCGTTTTGCTCCAAATATGCACCTTTAGTTTCTCCAGAGCTGGAACTAGAACCTATACTTCCTACAGGTGGATTAACATCAGTTTCCAGAAACCTCATGATGTGCTTTTCAACAGAAAGCACATGCTCCGGAATACCGACTAGAATTAGATTATTTTTCTTTGATATACGAATTGATACTCTGGGATTTTCTTTTTGCAGTGCTGAAAAGAACGTGTCTAGTTTTCTTTTCTGGTCCTCAAGAAGATTCAAGGGGATGACTCTTTCTATGGGCTGGGTTGAAATCCTCTGATAAAAATGGACAAAGCTCTCATAGGCTTGTAAACATGAATCTGGGTTTGGATAGTTCCTATGCTTAAAGAAAACATATGCTTTCTGTATGCTGAGAACAAACTTTTTCTGTGACTCAGTATTGTACTTTCGGTTTATATATTCAATTTCTTTATCCAATTCTGGTTCCAATGATTTAAATGTCTTAAGATCAAATCCGGTGTCAGTTTTCAAAGGGTAAGCTTCAGATTTTTTTACCAACTCTCCTGCCTCTAATTCCCGTATTGAGCCTTTAGCAGCTGAAATCTCCTTTGCAGGGCCACGGAGAACCAATGTATTTCCCTCTGTTTTAACAAGGATGCTCTTGAAATTGAGGTTTATAATCTGCTGTGCTTTAGCCATCTGGTGGCTGTCAGTAAAAGACATTATCTCCTGTTTCAGATCTGCGGTCACCTTCTGAAACGCCATGACAAAATTATGCTGAGCTTTCTCT